ATGGAAGCCGAATGGAAGCCGAATGGAAGCCTAATGGAAGCCGAATGGCAGCCGAATGGCAGCCGAATGGAAGCCTAATGGAAGCCGAATGGCAGCCGAATGGCAGCCGAATGGAAGCCGAATGGAAGCCGAATGGAAGCCTAATGGCAGCCGAATGGCAGCCGAATGGAAGCCGAATGGAAGCCGAATGGAAGCCTAATGGCAGCCGAATGGAAGCCGAATGGAAGCCGAATGGCAGCCAAATGGAAGCCGAATGGAAGCCGAATGAAAGCCGAATGGAAGCCGAATGGAAGCCGAATGGCAGCCGAATGGAAGCCGAATGGAAGCCGAATGGAAGCCGAATGGAAGCCGAATGAAAGCCGAATGGAAGCCGAATGAAAGCCGAATGGAAGCCGAATGGAAGCCGAATGGCAGCCGAATGGAAGCCGAATGGAAGCCGAATGGAAGCCGAATGAAGCCGAATGAAAGCCGAATGGAAGCCGAATGAAAGCCGAATGGAAGCCGAATGGAAGCCGAATGGAAGCCTAATGGAAGCCGAATGGAAGCCGAATGGAAGCCGAATGGAAGCCGAATGGAAGCCGAATGGAAGCCGAATGGAAGCCGAATGGAAGCCGAATGGAAGCCTAATGGAAGCCGAATGGAAGCCGAATGGAAGCCGAATGGAAGCCGAATGAAGCCGAATGGAAGCCGAATGGAAGCCGAATGAAAGCCGAATGGAAGCCGAATGGAAGCCGAATGGAAAGCCGAATGGAAGCCGAATGGAAGCCGAATGGAAGCCGAATGGAAGCCGAATGGAAGCCGAATGGAAGCCGAATGGAAGCCGAATGGAAGCCGAATGGAAGCCGAATGGAAGCCGAATGGAAGCCGAATGGAAGCCGAATGGAAGCCGAATGGAAGCCGAATGGAAGCCGAATGGAAGCCGAATGGAAGCCGAATGAAGCCGAATGGAAGCCGAATGGAAGCCGAATGGAAGCCGAATGGAAGCCGAATGGAAGCCGAATGGAAGCCGAATGGAAGCCGAATGGAAGCCGAATGGAAGCCGAATGGAAGCCGAATGGAAGCCGAATGGAAGCCGAATGGAAGCCGAATGGAAGCCGAATGGAAGCCGAATGGAAGCCGAATGGAAGCCGAATGGAAGCCGAATGGAAGCCGAATGGAAGCCGAATGGAAGCCGAATGGAAGCCGAATGGAAGCCGAATGGAAGCCGAATGGAAGCCGAATGGAAGCCGAATGTAAGCCGAATGGAAGCCGAATGGAAGCCGAATGGAAGCCGAATGGAAGCCGAATGGAAGCCGAATGGAAGCCGAATGGAAGCCGAATGGAAGCCGAATGGAAGCCGAATGGAAGCCGAATGAAGCCGAATGGAAGCCGAATGGAAGCCGAATGGAAGCCGAATGGAAGCCGAATGGAAGCCGAATGGAAGCCGAATGGAAGCCGAATGGAAGCCGAATGGAAGCCGAATGGAAGCCGAATGGAAGCCGAATGGAAGCCGAATGGAAGCCGAATGGAAGCCGAATGGAAGCCGAATGGAAGCCGAATGGAAGCCGAATGGAAGCCGAATGGAAGCCGAATGGAAGCCGAATGGAAGCCGAATGGAAGCCGAATGGAAGCCGAATGGAAGCCGAATGGAAGCCGAATGGAAGCCGAATGAAGCCGAATGGAAGCCGAATGGAAGCCGAATGGAAGCCGAATGGAAGCCGAATGGAAGCCGAATGGAAGCCGAATGGAAGCCGAATGGAAGCCGAATGGAAGCCGAATGGAAGCCGAATGGAAGCCGAATGGAAGCCTAATGGAAGCCGAATGGAAGCCGAATGGAAGCCGAATGGAAGCCGAATGGAAGCCGAATGGAAGCCGAATGGAAGCCGAATGGAAGCCGAATGGAAGCCGAATGGAAGCCGAATGGAAGCCGAATGGAAGCCGAATGGAAGCCGAATGGAAGCCGAATGGAAGCCGAATGGAAGCCGAATGGAAGCCGAATGGAAGCCGAATGGAAGCCGAATGGAAGCCGAATGGAAGCCGAATGGAAGCCGAATGGAAGCCGAATGGAAGCCTAATGGAAGCCGAATGGAAGCCGAATGGAAGCCGAATGGAAGCCGAATGGAAGCCGAATGGAAGCCGAATGGAAGCCGAATGGAAGCCGAATGGAAGCCGAATGGAAGCCGAATGGAAGCCGAATGGAAGCCGAATGAAAGCCGAATGGAAGCCGAATGGAAGCCGAATGGAAGCCGAATGGAAGCCGAATGGAAGCCGAATGGAAGCCGAATGGAAGCCGAATGGAAGCCGAATGGAAGCCGAATGGAAGCCGAATGGAAGCCGAATGGAAGCCGAATGGAAGCCGAATGGAAGCCGAATGGAAGCCGAATGGCAGCCGAATGGAAGCCGAATGGAAGCCGAATGGAAGCCGAATGGAAGCCGAATGGAAGCCGAATGGAAGCCGAATGGAAGCCGAATGGAAGCCGAATGGAAGCCGAATGGAAGCCGAATGGAAGCCGAATGGAAGCCGAATGGAAGCCGAATGGAAGCCGAATGGAAGCCGAATGGAATGGAAGCCGAATGGAAGCCGAATGGAAGCCGAATGGAAGCCGAATGGAAGCCGAATGGAAGCCGAATGGAAGCCGAATGGAAGCCGAATGGAAGCCGAATGGAAGCCGAATGGAAGCCGAATGGAAGCCGAATGGAAGCCGAATGAAGCCGAATGGAAGCCGAATGGAAGCCGAATGGAAGCCGAATGGAAGCCGAATGGAAGCCGAATGGAAGCCGAATGAAGCCGAATGAAGCCGAATGGAAGCCGAATGGAAGCCGAATGGAAGCCGAATGGAAGCCGAATGGAAGCCGAATGGAAGCCGAATGGAAGCCGAATGGAAGCCGAATGGAAGCCGAATGGAAGCCGAATGGAAGCCGAATGGAAGCCGAATGGAAGCCGAATGGAAGCCTAATGGAAGCCGAATGGAAGCCGAATGGAAGCCGAATGGAAGCCGAATGAAAGCCTAATGGAAGCCGAATGGAAGCCGAATGAAAGCCGAATGGAAGCCGAATGGAAGCCTAATGGCAGCCGAATGGAAGCCGAATGGAAGCCGAATGGAAGCCGAATGGAAGCCGAATGGAAGCCGAATGGAAGCCTAATGGAAGCCGAATGGCAGCCGAATGGCAGCCGAATGGAAGCCGAATGGAAGCCTAATGGAAGCCGAATGGAAGCCTAATGGAAGCCGAATGGAAGCCGAATGGCAGCCGAATGGCAGCCGAATGGAAGCCGAATGGAAGCCTAATGGAAGCCGAATGGAAGCCGAATGGAAGCCGAATGAAAGCCGACTGGAAGCCTAATGGCAGCCTAATGGCAGCCGAATGGAAGCCGAATGAAAGCCGAATGAAAGCCGAATGGAAGCCGAATGGAAGCCTAATGGAAGCCGAATGGAAGCCGAATGGAAGCCGAATGGAAGCCGAATGGCAGCCGAATGGAAGCCGAATGGAAGCCGAATGGAAGCCGAATGGAAACCGAATGAAAGCCGAATGAAAGCCGAATGAAAGCCGAATGGAAGCCGAATGGAAGCCGAATGGAAGCCGAATGGAAGCCTAATGGAAGCCGAATGGAAGCCGAATGGAAGCCGAATGGAAGCCGAATGAAAGCCGAATGAAAGCCGAATGGAAGCCGAATGGAAGCCGAATGAAAGCCGAATGAAAGCCGAATGGAAGGCGAATGGAAGCCTAATGGAAGCCGAATGGAAGCCGAATGGAAGCCGAATGAAAGCCGAATGAAAGCAGAATGGAAGCCTAATGGAAGCCGAATGGAAGCCGAATGAAAGCCGAATGGAAGCCGAATGGAAGCCTAATGGCAGCCGAATGGAAGCCGAATGGAAGCCGAATGGAAGCCGAATGGCAGCCGAATGGAAGCCGAATGGAAGCCGAATGAAAGCCTAATGGAAGCCGAATGAAAGCCGAATGGAAGCCGAATGGAAGCCGAATGGAAGCCGAATGGAAGCCGAATGGAAGCCGAATGGAAGCCGAATGGAAGCCGAATGGAAGCCGAATGGAAGCCTAATGGAAGCCGAATGAAAGCCGAATGGAAGCCGAATGGAAGCCGAATGGAAGCCGAATGGAAGCCGAATGGAAGCCGAATGAAAGCCGAATGGAAGCCGAATGGAAGCCGAATGGAAGCCTAATGGAAGCCGAATGGCAGCCGAATGGCAGCCGAATGGCAGCCGAATGGAAGCCTAATGGAAGCCGAATGGCAGCCGAATGGCAGCCGAATGGCAGCCGAATGGAAGCCGAATGGAAGCCGAATGAAAGCCTAATGTAAGCCTAATGGAAGCCGAATGGAAGCCGAATGGAAGCCGAATGGCAGCCGAATGGCAGCCGAATGGCAGCCGAATGGAAGCCGAATGGAAGCCGAATGGAAGCCGAATGGAAGCCGAATGGAAGCCGAATGGAAGCCGAATGAAAGCCTAATGGAAGCCGAATGGCAGCCGAATGGAAGCCGAATGAAAGCCGAATGGAAGCCGAATGAAAGCCGAATGGAAGCCGAATGGAAGCCGAATCACAGCCAAATTTTAGCTGAATAGCATATGGCAGCCTTATGGCAGCCAAATGGCAGCCGAATGAAAGCCGAATGGAAGCCGAACGGAAGCCGAATGGAAGCCGAATCACAGCCAAATTTTAGCTGAATAGCATATGGCAGCCTTATGGCAGCCAAATGGCAGCCCTCTTCCCTGCAACTTCCAGCAAAATTCCCTCCAACTTCCAGCCACTGGAGTGATCCACTGTATCAATTTTTTTGTACTCTGGATTCAACCATTTCACTGAATTACAGGGTCTGACAAGGAGATGGTGCTCTTTAGATCTTATTGTCCACAAATCCTGACAGAAAGAATATCTTACAAAGGTTGATGTTTAAAAAAGGAATTGTAGAGGACCAGCCAAGGGTCCATCAAGGAAAGTAGGGAAATTTTGAATGGCTACTACTGTAGAGCTGAATCTTTTTGTTTTGTCTGTTTTTTCCACCTCAGATCTGGCGAGTGGTGGAGAGCCATGCTAATCAGTACCGGCAAAGAAGGCTACATTCCCAGTAATTATGTGGCTAAAGACACTCTGGAGACAGAGGAGTGAGTTCACAGGCTGACATGTTCAACATAAGGATGGGCGGTTTCTGATGTTGGATAACTGATCTCATCCATGTTGTTCAGCTGGTTCTTTAAGGGCGTGAGCAGAAAGGATGCTGAGAGGCAGCTGCTGGCCCCAGGAAATCGAATTGGATCCTTCATGATCCGAGACAGTGAGACCACCAAAGGTGAGATAAACGAGCTGTAAAGGTGAACTGCTTGAAGGCGGGAAGAGCTAAAAGCCTTCCAGCCGTCCTGATGGTCAGAAGGGCTCATATATCCCCTTTTTGTCCCAATGATTACTTCATTCCGATTAGTCTCAGGGGAAAAAAAGAAAAATCATCATATTCAAATGACTGGAACAGATCAAATGGAATAGATTAGAATTTATCTTAACTGTCAATATCACAAATACAGAGCAACGAAATGAACTCTATGCATTTAACGCCTCCTCTTGGTCAGGGGGGATTTACCATTAGGCAATACTAGGCAGTTGCCTAGGGCCCCAAGTTCCTGGAGGGCCCCATAAAACTCCTTTTACATGTATGGTTAATACAGCTATTCCTTATTTGTGCACATTAATTATGTTTTTGATAAAAATCCATTGGCTAAAATGCCATCAGAACAGTTATAAAGTGTGTTTTTGAAAACACAGGAAGGAGCAATCAGCTAAGTGAGCTTAGTGCTTGGAAAAAATCTTTCATTCCTTTAAAGACAGCATGAAAAGTCAGCAGAGTACAAAACATAGAGAGGAAAACAAGAAGAAAAGGGACAAGAAGAGAGGGACACAACCTAGAACAGATCATGGATGTCTATTCTATTAACATTTCTCTATTTGTAGAATGGGGATGTTTTATGTCTTGTCTTCTCCATTCAGAGGGGCCCCTGCCTGTCTTTGCCTAGGGCCCCACATTTCCTAAATCCGTCCCTGCATGTATGATCATGTATGACCGGCTGTCTTATCTGCTTATTTTTGTTCTAGGTAGTTATTCTCTATCCGTCAGGGATCTGGATCCACAGTCTGGTGACACGGTCAAACATTATAAGATTCGAACGCTGGACAACGGAGGATTTTACATCTCCCCTCGCATCACCTTCTGCACCCTGCAGGAGCTGGTCGGCCATTATAAAAGTGAGTTCAGACCAGAAACCCGCTCTGCATGCTTCCTTCTGGCTTTTAGTTGGTTTCCTGTCAAAACTTAAGTCATCTAGTGGTGAGCAACCTTTTTCAGGTCAACCATTGAACTTCTAGAATCAGTGTATTCATGGCTCCCCCTGCTGATAGGCCTGGATAACTTACGCTCTTCCAAAAAAGTTAAAAAACCATGAAGCCTGGCAGTCCACCTTTTTGGAATGGGGGCTGTTTCGCTTATTTGGTTCTGCAAGGCCCCATACCTGACATACCGAAGGGGTGGACCTGTGTGTCTGTTTCTATTAGCATATTTTCTAAACTAAAACAAAGGTTATGTTGGGCTACTGGATAAAACCTGGAACTAAACACTATTTCTGACATTTTGAATTGAAAAAGCTTCCTGGATGGAAGAGAAACGTCTTCAAACTTGGAAACAAAGTCCAGTGGATTGATTTTAACGTTTCTGGAATGACTATGAATATTACGCTCTATTAAAGGATTTTTATAAACCTTAAAATGTTTGCTGTTTTCAGAGCAGGGAGATGGCCTCTGCCAAACTCTGACCACTCCATGTTTAAGCCCCAAACCTGAGAAACCCTGGGAGAAGGATGCCTGGGAAATCCCACGATCCTCACTTAAGCTGGATAAGAGACTCGGCGCGGGACAGTTTGGAGAAGTTTGGATGGGTGAGTCAGAGCGCTGCCGCTGAGAAGACACGAAGAAAAACGTGTCTTTCACTCCTTTCACTGTGTTTTTTCTTCTCCAATCAGCTACGTACAACAAGCACACCAAGGTGGCGGTGAAGACCATGAAGCCTGGCAGTATGTCAGTGGAGGCGTTCCTGATGGAGGCCAACCTGATGAAGAGCCTACAGCACGACAAACTCGTTCGCCTCAACGCTGTGGTCACCAAAGAGGAGCCCATCTACATCATCACCGAGTACATGGAGAAAGGTGCTCTTTGCGTGCGCCAGTTCAAATAAGCCAGCTATCAAAAACCTGAGTTATAAATGAGTTTTACAGACGTCCAGTTATGTCCGGACTCCTGGAGATAAATGCTCCTGATGTCTTTAGTGGGTATAAAAGCAGATGAACTGGTCCCAGAAGGTTAAACTGGTTAGAAAAACCTGGACTTCTACAGTTTTAAAAAACTTTTTAGAAGGTCAGACGATTTATTGATTATTTGCACCATCATCCCGTTTAAAATTGGCGGTAATATTAATATATTTACATGTACTACTGTCTGATAAGAGGTGGTTTGATTGCATGTTGGATTTATGGTTAGACTTCCTTATTTTGCATGTTTTTTCCTCTCATTGTGTTTGAAACTGGAAGGTTGATGATGATTGGCTGCATCTTCACCTCAGTTATCTGCCAAAAAACGATCAGCCTGTGTTTAACCACTCAAAACAAATTAACCTGGATCCGTCGGAAGGCGAAGGCACCTTCTCAGAACCTTAAAATAACCTTTTCATTTTTCAAACCAAGGTGTAATTTAACTCCCAGCGGACTAAACTGCAAAAATGATGTAGAAATAAGTTAAAATGTCTTTAATTAAGTGTATTTTCCTTTAATTTGAGTAAGTAAAGAAGACAATTTTCCAATAGAACGAGTATTTCTACTCTTAGGATAAGAAATTTAGATAATATGCGCTTGAAATGAAGACAATGCAATAGTTTTTTATTTTTATTTTAAAGAGTTGGGGTTTTAAATGTTCCACTGCTAAAGTCTCACTTACCTCCTCAATTCAAGAACAAATACATTTATTTTAAGAAAAGGTGACTTATTTAGATGTCGACCTTTTCTAGTGTAGCTAGCCTGCCTAATTAATAAAGATAGCATAAATCACAAGTTGATTTTTTTGAAAAGGGTGTTAACCCGACAAACTACTTCAGAATAATTTAATTTCACACCTTTACTCCCACACTTTAACATAAAACTCTATGTAATATATCTGTAAGTGCTGGAAACTGTTTGAAGATGAAAAGGCATTTTAATCTGTTTTTAGCATCTTTAATTCTCACTACTGAAACAGCAGGGTTTGTATGTTTATTCTATTTAATATAGATTTTCAATTTCATTCTAAAATATAAATAAAAACCCTAAAGGATTAAAAGAGCAACTCTGCTCTGTTCAGCCTTCCTGTTATCAACTGAAAGCCTTGCTCTCTCTCGCCGTATCACAGCCCAGGTTGATGTTAACAAGCTGTAGAAAGTTTAGTGCTTCCTTTAAACAGCTGAAACTAGAACAGTAAGAAAGAAGGAAGAAATTAAAACTATTGTGTAATAAAATAGCGCTAAAAATGATTTTTATTTTGATGATGTATTTCATAATAATAATTTTGATGTTGATGGATATTTGCATGTTTTCCTATAGGTAGTTTGTTAGACTTCCTGAAGAGCGATGAAGGAAACCGTGTCCAGCTTCCAAAACTCATCGACTTCTCTGCTCAGGTGAGGATTCCTCGCATTCTCTACTGATTATATTCTATAGCATTATTTTGCAAATTGATTAATCTGTCGATTGTTTTTTCTATTAATCGATTGATAATTGGATAGCCAAAGGTTTCTTAAAGAAGATATTTTACCAAATCAAAGCAGGTGAAACTAGAACTTTTCTACTTGAGGAGTTCTGGATTATAGAGCAGATTGAGAGAAGAAAAATATTTTTTTTTATCTTAACCCCTAACTCAGTGAAATACTTTGAAAATCCAAATCCAGCCAATAGTGTTATTGGAATCCAGGACCAGACCTGATTACCTTTGTAACTTTAAACAATCTGGATATTTTGATGGCAAAAATGAATGTCAATGTAATAACAAGAATAATAATCAAATTGTTTTTTATTAGTTTTTCATATTAAACCAACAGACACGTCCAGGGCATAAAAAACAAAACAAAAAGACTCCATAATTACATCACACCGACATCACAAAAAAAAAAACATAAACCAACTATCAACAAGACAATTACTACACCCGCACATACAACCCATGTTCCACACATCCGTGGGTTGAAAACCAAAAACATAAGTATGAATAACAATCATAATGAAAATAATTCCGCCACACAGAGAAAAAATAAAGAAAAAAAAGCTGCTGATTATGCTGAAGCAGATGGAACTCCGGATTCAAAATAAGAAATAAAAGGTTGCCAAATCTTGAAATATCTCCTAATGGTACCCTGTGACGTAAATCGAAGATGTTCCAGCTTTAGGTGCGCCATTACCTCCTCTATCCATCGTTTATGAGTTGGTGGAACTGCCTTTACCCAATTAAATAGGATCAATCTCCTGGCCAACAGCGAAGGAAATGCCATTGCCTTCCTTTGAGCTGTCGTTTAATGTAAAAACAAGAAACGGCAACTTGTATATATTAGGAAAAATAACAAAAGTGCTTCTAGAAGAAATTCAGGAAAAACACTCTGAGAGTGAAAGAAACACTTTTTTGGTCCAACAAAACCTTAAAGGCATTAATGCTGATACTGGCACATTTTTTAGTTTATAAACCGAAATATAATTGTTAACTAGGCTTATTAATTATTTAACTTTCATTTTTAACTTTTCAATTAGCTTTTTACCTTTTTTAAAGGGTTAAATGTAAAATGTTTAAATAAATAATCCTACTCTAAATGGTTCGCTCTATCAGCTAACACTCAGTTATCACTTTTTTCTACAGAGCTACGAAATTCACTCTCTGTATTTAACCCAGCAGTGGGCTGCCATTGTGCAGCGCCCGGGGAGCAGTGTGGGGTTAAGGGTCTTGCTCAGGGGGCTTGAGCTCCTAACCTCTGGGATCCAAGCTCTATGCTCTAACCACTAGGCCACCACTCCCCTCCTACCAACTAATGTTGGATTCATGAACTTCCTTCCACCAAAACATGAGCGTAGGTTTACACAGGGACCACAGGGACATGTCCCTACCAGAATTTTGAACCGACCTAATTGTCCCTACCAATAATTGGATGTGAGCAACATGTTTATAATTTACAGCAGTAGTTGTTGCCGTAGTGGCTTATTTTCCTCTCGCAGTTCCTCTGCCTCGTCTCTCCTGTCCCTTTCATGTAGCAGCGCATGGAACTGTGCTGCGCTGTTTAACTCCACTCTCATTGGTTGTTCTGCCTTAGGTTCCGCCTTCTCTCCCTCTGATTGGCTGTTTTCTAGTCCGCGTGTGCTTGGAGCACAACATTGAAAATGTATTCACACTAGAATGCTGCGGTTACTCCAGTTAATATTAGGCTAAAAACAAAAACCTTTTTTTTTTCTTTTATAAAACGAAATATTCTGAGTCAGCCAGGAGTTCTGAAGACTGCTGGAAAATTGTGCAAATAAAGGCTGTAAGCCATCAACATTTCTGATTCTTAGCCACAGCCACCTAAAAGAAAATGTGAGGGTTTCCTTTTTACCGATATTTAGTTGCTATTACTGTTTTCATTTTTTGATGACTCTTTAAGGAAGTTCAGGTATAGTTATTAGCAGGTGGTATTTCTCTTATAGAGTATAACAATAAGAGATGGTGGCTAAACATCTGCTGTTTATCGTTTAAAAAGCATAATTAGGGTTCCACATAATAATAGTAATTTAATTGACTATTTATACTTCTAGAAATAGAAGAAATAGGATAAAGACAAGAACAAACAGATGAAGAGTATCAACATTCATTTTATCTTACATAGATTTCCACACAGTCTATAAGTAAATTAGTACAAACATTAATGTCTGGTAAAAATGCTTGAATATAGCTGTTTATTTTTGATATTATTAAATCACAGATAAGATAGTGGTATATTGTCTTTTAGAATTGTTAAAAGTGATTTTATATTTTAATACACTTAGGCTCATTCTCAGTGTTGTGTTTGTAGATGATGCCACTGAAAAAGAAATTACCGGTATACATAAGGAGCTATTTAAACAGTCAGACAGTAAGCAATATAGGATGGTGATAAAAGGTTGTGTTACATTTAATCCTTTACTATTAAAAATGCACTTATACATTATATGATTATAGGAAACACAGATATGCAGTAATAATGATGCAGGGCAGCTTGTAGGTGAAGCAGCTGCCCTTCAGTGCTTCAGGTGATGTCTAAATAAACCAGGTGAAATTAAAATATCTCCACATGAGGAGTTCTGGGTGGAGAATATTGACAGACAAAAACATTTTTTTTTATATTTTATATATATATATCGTATTTTTTACAATTTTGGTATAATTACAATTTTGGTATAATTACTGATTTAAGTGGGTTGCTCTGTCGGGGAAAGGCGCATTTTACATTTAGATTATGTTTTATAGTCTCTATTCTTCAGTTAATGATGAATCACTCACTAAATTAGTTGACAATTATTGAAATAATCAATTAATATAATTAATTTTTTCAGCCCCGGATAAAATACCTGAAATGGGCGACACAGAGTAACTACAGCCCAGATGTTCAACTTTTATAATGAAGTTAATATTTTAATGAATGTAATATTTTGCTTGATAAATATAAGAGTGGGGTTTAACTCTGCATAATTCTATATCTTCAAAAGAAAATACTGTATTTACCTTCTCTCTTAGTCATTCAAATGAAACCATTTTCAAAGTGGAAAACAGTCCTAATTCCACATTCATCAGAGCTGGTGATACTTCAAACATTGATAAACAGCATCTAATGAGTGTAGAGCTTATAACATTTTTATTAATGTAGCAAAATTATGCTTTTCTCTTTTAACAATCAATTGCTCTTATCAGCACGGATGCTCACACCGAGCATAAAAAAAGGCATGCATATTGCATAGCACCAATGACACCTGATCAATTGTGTCCCTACCAAAGTTCAAATCAAACCTACGCCCTTGCACCAAAATAAAGATAGTTTACTTTACCAAATTGTGGTTTCAAATTCCTTGTTTTCAAAAGATGCTGCCAAATAGTTTCCCGTGGCTTTTTTTAAAGGAAACCAGCCCACAGCATCACTCACCTTTCACCAAGCTTAAGAGTGAGCATAAAAAGTTTTTCTACTGGGTTAAAGATTGCTCGATGAATCGTCTACAAGTTTACATCGGTGATGGTAGGACACTGCTGGGGTTTTTGCTGTCAGACAGCGTTGAATGGTTGCTATGGAGACCTGAGGGCCTGGAGATCTGACTCTTCCTGCCTCAGTTTTAGATCATTCATTAAAAGGCTAGATTAGGTTATGATTATAGGTGGTGAGGTGTGGGAATGAGCTGATGACAAGCTTAAGGGGAGAGATTGTTGCATTGTCCATACGACATTATTTTGTACATTTCCCTTTAGCCTTTTTAATCACCTTTATGTTGCAAAAATGTGCTTTAATTTTTCTTTGGTGTCTGTAATCTTCTTGGGCCTAAATTGGGGAAAACGTTTATTTTATTTGTTCATAAAAAATTGGATTTTATATTGTTTCCATCTCAATTTTTAATAGAGAATTCCAAAAAGAAAACTGTAATACAATTCAATTCAGTTTATTTCTATAGCGAAACCTCAGTGTGAGCGGCCGTCTGCCGAGACCCACTAGGGTTCAAGGAGACAGAAGCAGAAATACTTTTAAAGGATAGTCTGGTGAAAATGGCCGATTCTAAGAGTTTTTGCTATGTGAAGTATTCAGACGCACACAACAGCACATCCCATTGCAATCAGCAGATAAAACTTTTCTTTTTCTTTTGGACATTTAAAAACCTTTGCCTCATTAGCTCCCAGTCTATCACCTGTCATGTGTGAAACCAGTACAGCGTGCAGCCCTGACATTATAGGACCTGACGTGACACTTTGTGAGGTGACAGACGTGATGTCTCTCTGTTCCGGTCTGCCATGGTTCTTCATCAGAAATCAGATGAAGCAGGCAGTGAGTTCACAGCAGACAGAGCAGAGCAGAGGTGTGAATTCTACGTTTATACGTAACATGTACAGCAGCAGCCATTAAAAATTTCCCCACTTTCCTTGATGGGTCCCTGGCTGTTCCCTGGCTGATCCCCTACAATTCCTTTTTAACCTCCTACCATCCACCTCATTTTGGATAATCATCGCCTATTTTGCATACCCAAATGGAAAAGCAAATAACTTAGGAACTGTATTCCAAAATTACATGTGCAATACATTATTTGAAAGCTAACAACCGCTAGTTTCCTAATATATAAATTAAAATTGGGTGAGTAAAACACAGACCAACCTGCATCAGTTCAAACCTGACTCAAAGTTGTTATATATATATATATATATATATATATATATATATATATATATATATATATATATATATATATTTGATAGGTCTTTCTTGAACAGCAGTAATAAAGACATTCTTGAGAAAAAGCAGGTTTTATTGTATTATATTTTTTTTTACATCATGTCAACCACAAATGCAGAAAATGTCAGACCTCTAGCTTTAACAATTCCAGATCTGTGGGGTTTGGAACCTTTGGTGTCAGCTTGTAGCTGTGCGCAATGGCTCCACCTGCTGGTAGAACATTTTACCTGAGTTATTACCCCCACTTAAGGTCTTAAGAGGTTTTAAGAGGTTAAACATCAATCTTTGTACTAAAATATTCTTTCTGTCATGATTTGTGGACATTAAGATTTAAAGAGAAGCGCCATCTCCTGGTCAGACCCTGTAATTCAGTGAAAGGGTGGAGTCAGAGTAGAAAAATATCCAAGAGGGGGTCACTGCAGTGGCTGGAAGTTGGAGGGGATTCTGCTGGGAGTTGCAGGATAGTGGGCTGCCATTTTGAATGGCTGCTGCTGTAGGATTTGACTGACTAACATTAAATGTCTTGCTTTCAGATTGCAGAAGGAATGGCGTACATTGAGCAGAAGAACTACATCCACAGAGACTTGAGAGCTGCCAACATCCTGGTCAATAAGTCCTTAGTGTGCAAAATCGCTGACTTTGGCCTGGCTCGAATTATTGAGGACAACGAGTACACAGCCAGAGAGGGTAGGTCTCCTCTCTCCACACGCTGCAGAACGAGGATCTCATCCCTCCTTCAATCACTCACCACATCCATCCCTGTCTGTGCTCTGAATGCCTGACCAATACCAACAGAGGTTTACTGGTTTTGATGTCTTCCATGAACAGGAGCCAAGTTCCCGATCAAATGGACGGCCCCTGAAGCCATCAACTATGGCTCCTTCACAATAAAATCCGACGTCTGGTCCTTTGGGATTTTGCTGACTGAGATCATCAGTTATGGACGCACGCCGTACCCAGGTGACAGCACCGTCTTTATACTTTTTATTTAGGAATCCGTCCCGATTGAGTCCACTTCTATTAGGTGTGAGAAAGGCTGAAAGATTTTTCTTGTTTTGCAGGAATGACCAATCCAGAGGTGATCCGTTCCCTGGAGAAAGGCTACCGAATGCAGCGCCTCGACAGCTGTCCCACTGAACTCTATGAGATCATGCTGGAGTGCTGGAAGAACAAGCCAGAGGACCGCCCCACCTTCGATTACCTGCAGAGCGTCCTGGAGGATTTCTACACAGCTACAGAGAGCCAGTACCAGCAGCAGCCATGAGACAGCATCCATTAATATGTGCTTCAGGTTGAGTTTATGTAAGCAGCAGCAGTGCAGCTCAGGGCACAAAAAACATGCTGGAAATTTAGCTCTCTGCCTCTTATCTACGCACACACATACGGCACGGTACAGAAATGATGCTCAGAGAGACAGACCTTTACACTTTTAATAGTTTTTTCAATGAAAAATACAGAGTTGGAAAAGTTTTGTCAGCTTTTTCCAAATGTGCATTTCCACAGTCGGCTCTATAAAAGATGTAGTTTACACCAAAAGATGATTTTAAGTTCTGTGTTCAAGCAATAATCTCACAGTGGCAGCGAAGATATTATAAATAAAAAAGTTTGCATCGGCAGCCGTGAACAGAACCAGCAAAGGTTTCACTTTTTACTCACAATTTAATTAGTCTAATGGTTTTGATTCCAGATGCAGCATCCTCCAAGGATCCAGGTAGAGCGGGTCCTTGGAGGATGGTCCATGAAAATAAGGAGGCTGGAAGAGTTTGGCTGAGGATTCAAACAGGTCCAGCCTTCTCCGGCTTTCACTTCGCGTATGCTCGGCCTACGAATCTTTGGAAGATGCAGCCGCTGAAGTAGATCTTGGCATAAGATACATTTTTATTGGTTATGATGTTCATTGCTCAACAGGCTGCAAAACCTGCCCAACTCTGTTGATAAATTATCGCCACCTATTGGTCTGGGGTTTTGCCCCATGAGTTAAACAGAGCCAATCCTAATCAGTCAGCTCTCAGAGGTGGTTGTTATAGATGCAAAAAATGCCAAATAAAACCAACGTCTTAAAGCCTCATTGGTTGAGGCTTTAAGTACATTTATATTTCCATATTTCTCAGAATTGCCCATAAATCCTTCATTAAATTATTCTCTGTGTAAAACCTTTAGAACACGGACCAGACTGCACACTGGAAGCCGTTCAAACTTCACACAAAGATGCTACTAAATAATTCACTCAGGCCTCTATTTTAATGCACTGTACTTAGAGCCATAACTTTCAAAGGATAGACGTGTTTCTGGGTTTTATTGCTGCTGTAATTAGCGTACAGCTCCTATCATGTGAAAAGACGTCAAGCAAAGCCGTGCTAATAAATATTCAAATATTTTTACCGCTGGCCTCTGAAAACTTAGGACTAACAGAACTAAACAGAGCATGAATTTAAAGGAAAAGTCCGGTCAGCGAGGAATAATCAATGCATTATTATTTATATAACTAATATGTTTGCGGTGATTTAATTAATTAAGCGTTAAACAGTATAAAAACTAAAAACTATCATTTTATTCGCGATCGCTGAGTCTAGGAGCGGCCATTTTTGCCCAAATATAGTAGCCCCTCCCTCCTGCCATCTTCCAGCAGTGACGTCACGGTGCGGTAAGCCTAGCGCCATTCTCCCCGCTTTCCAAGCTAAATCAATGGGAACTACTAGACACATCTGCAATCAACAACAATTATTGAAGATTTCCAGAGGACTTCACCATTGAAATTCACCAGAGCTATAGTGAAACTGACAATGCCCACGTGCATGGCAGCTGGATGCTGGAATACATCGGGTAAAAGTGGAAAAAAGAGTTATTCCACCTTTCTGATTCCTGATCCTCCACGGACGGGTTGGTCGTTGGATCGCCAACTTGCAGAGGGAGGATTTGCCATCGAACTTCTGGCCAGAGAAAAAACCCGTAATATGTAGCCAACTGTCGCAGCCTTCTGTTCCAAAAAATACCTAAATTTCCAACAAAGGCGGAGGGCTGTAACAGGTGGGTTTCGGCTTTGTATGCACTTCCGAATTGGCTTATTTGTTGTAAAATCAAAGACAAAATAATTACTAAAAATATCTTGCAACTTAGTAGAAATGAAAAATAATGTTAATTTAATGTTTGAGGCTTTAAAAAAGTGGTAAAAAAAATAATTTTACAAAACCTCCCATCCACACCAGACATTTACCAACCGATCCACCAGCACCCGCTGTGTTCTTAATTATTCCAATTAATGGGAGGGTCAGCAACCTAATCTAAACAAATCCAAATTTTAAAAATATAAATTACAAATTTTGATACTAAATGAATATTTTACATACCAAAAGAAGAAAACTAAATTGGCAGAAATGACAAATTACCCATATTTAGTATAAATGCCTATAACACCAACATTTGGAAGAAGAATGTTTTTAAGATGACTTGGATAATAGCGCGTTGTGACAAACACCAGATACAGCACTGGGACTTGATCAACAGCCGATACCGCACCGTGACGTCACTAACCAGTAGGTGGCAGTAGTGTTCTTTGACAAACATGGATGCCTCCAGTAAAGCACATTCACATGAAAATTACTCTGAATTAAAAACACTGATCATTTATTGAACAGGATGGAATCATTTCACATTTAAAGAACTTTCAGAAGTTTGAATTCTGTATATGAGCGGACTTTTCCTTTAAAAAAAAAGTGAAAATATAAAAAAATATATATATTTTGGTTCTAACTCTCCGTCTGAGCACGTTTTGACATTATTTGTGCCGTTCTTATTTTCCTCTTTCTCTGTGCCTTTAACATCTGTTCCTTGATCCGGATTCAATCATCAGATTCAAATATATATTCCATATGATGTGTATATACAAATTTATTCTGCTTGTTTATTCTTTATGACTTAAGTTATTATAAAAGCAGCATACTAATGTCAGGAATGTTTTGGAGAGAACATTTTCTTTAAAACCCTTTTATTGTTTGTTTTTTAGCAGAGCGTAACGACGGATACCTGCTGATGCATCTTTGATTATGCTGGAAGTTGAATGTAAATTGCACATAAATGTTCAGGACAAGTGAGCTTTAAGCATGTTAATAATTCATGCTTTGATAAATATGGCGACTTTCCATAAAGACTTTAAAGCAACAATGTGCCAGAAATGATGTTTTTAAGTGAGGAGCCATGTAAGACATCAATCAGGGCTGTATATATATAGATGTATCACTGAGTTAAGACTCTTTTCTCTCATTTTCCCTTGGCAGTCTGTGAATGCTTCCTTAAGTGCAACTCTTATGATAATTGGTTAAATAAATGGTTTCAGAAATGACTGAAATATTAAAGAACAGAATATTTGATGTTTCAATCATAATTTATATGTTCTTTTATTCATCATATTTAACTATATATAAAAGGTTCCCGGCCCGGGGTCTTTCTGCATGGAGTTTGCATGTTCTCCATGAGCATGCTTAGGTTCTCTCCGGGTACTCCGGCTGCCTCCTACAGTCCGAAAAAACATGACTGTTAGGTTCATTGGCTTCTCTGAGTGTGAGTATGACTGGTTGTTTGTCCTGTTTGTCTCTGTGTTGCCCTGCGATGGACTTGAGACCTGTCCACCCCGCCCCTCATGGATGGATGGATGGATGGATGGATGGATGGATGGATGGATGGATGGATGGATGGATGGATGGATGGATGGATGGATGGATGATGGATGGATGGATGGATGGATGGATGGATGGATGGATGGATGGATGATGGATGGATGGATGGATGGATGGATGGATGGATGGATGGATGGATGGATGGATGATGGATGGATGGATGGATGGATGATGGATGGATGGATGGATGGATGGATGGATGGATGGATGGATGGATGGATGGATGGATGGATGGTCAGTGCAGCTTCAAAATTACACATAAAACCTCAAATACATTCATGCACCTCCTGCCTTTAATATTCAGTTGAATAAAATGGGAGCTTCTCAATACATTGTGACATAACCCTCGGGTCAAAGTTCATTGAACCACTGGTGTGCCAGAAGACTCCTGTGTTATTCTGCATCGCTCCTGAACATCCTCAACTCGTCACTGTTTCATAATAATGGCAGACCAGCATCACTAACCACATCCATCACTGGTTAGAAAAATGTGTAAAAAATATTCTTTTTTTTTTTACTGAAGTCCAAAATGGTCTGAGATTTAATGCAGTTTTTAATTCATCCCAGAATCTTGTTTTTGACAGTAAATAAAGCACGGATCTGTCAAAAAAATTATAAAACAAAAATAAAAGCAAATTTATTTGTATTTTATCATCTTGTAATCACTGAGGATCTTGTTGTACATTTCTGGAGGTGTTTAAATGGTTTGTCTTTGGTGCTCATTTCACTGTTCCAGAAAGGAATATGTCTTTGGTATGTTCCTGCCTCAACACACCTGATTTTAGCCCCTTAAATTCGTAGGGATATTTCATATTTCAATGTCAAATAATTCTGACTTAAGCATGTATATAAATGTATTTATCAGACCATATTGTCCCAAAATGTAGAAAATTTCTATTTGAAAAAAAAAAAAATCCTCTCTTAAAATCTTCGTGGTAGGCAGTTAGTTCTACGTCAGCCTGAACACCTAAATTCGGCCAATCATATATCAACGGTCATCTGTCAATCAAATGTTTTCGGTCATAGCATCTTGATTCATGTGTCGCAGCTAATATACGCAACGGTTGAAATCAGAATCCTTTCCTTTCCCATTGAGTTGCGTCCCAGTGTTCACGGGGATGGACGTCTGTGTCTTCAGCAGGCGTAGAGCTAACAGAACTGGCAGCGTTGCGAGGCAAGGGCTCAAACATGTACGGCTGGAAGCCTTCTACACCAAACCAAGCTTCTGCCGCCCTGGCGTCCTCTTCCACAACATCTTCGTCCCCGCTTTCCTCCTCTAAATAAAAAATGTATGATAGAGGAGACTCATCCACGACCTCCGACACTAAACTCTCCTCCTCTTGCATGTTTCCGCTGTCCATAGCGTTCCTTGACAGCGTCGTTTCTAAGTCACCAATTTAGTGCTATTTGGTCCCAATGGAATTTCCCATTGGGAACCTGCTAGCACTAAGTTGCTAACTGGTTAGCAAGATGCTTCCGACAAACCGGCTACAATCAAACTTGCTTGTGAACCTTCTGCCACAACAATCCCACCCCCTTGATAAAAGACCAATCACATTAACTTTGTTCACTAGTGTAAAGTCGGGCACCACTTGGGAGAATTCGGCAATTCAACAGTTGAAACAGCTGCTTCCCTATGACTTGAAGCCTGGCAGGCCCCGTTACAGGCTAAACTTTTTATCTATTTATAGAAATGACCAAAACACAGTCACACAGTGTTTCATCCACACGCCCCTCAAATGGGGCTTTAAAAATGTCTAAAACATGTTTCAAATTGGTTTTTTCACAAGTACTTTTTGTTTTCTATCTGTATAAACAAATAAAATGAGATTTTAAATTCTAACTGCCATGTGTGACTCTGCGGGAGCATTGCAACAGCAGGTATTCATTTTTAGCCCCGCCCCCTAATGGCCACCATTATTGGAATGTAGAGGCTCAGACCTTTCCAAGGAGGGGTCGGAGGACATTGTGTGACTATTTCAGGTAATGTAACCAGTAGCGATGCGCTGACGCCATTTTTTGGACCCGATACCTGACTGTGCAGTATCGGCCGATACCGATACCATACCGGTACCATCTGTTTGAAAGTGATGTGTGTGTGTATATATGAAGAACTGCACACTACTTGGATGTAAAATAATTGCCATCATGGCTTCATGTCTAGCTGCTGCCTACCTTTGTGAAGCAGGAAACAGACTAAAACAAAGTGAATCCAGTAGAACTTTTATTGCCTACCTGGAATGGGTGACTATAGTTCAATAAACTTTTGGCTCTCTAAATGGTATCAATGCCCTATTTGTTGGTACTCGCCGATACCGATATCACCATTTTAGTGCTGGATCGGGGCCTCGCCCGATACTGGTTATTCTTAGCTTGTTATTCTTCTTATTGGTAAATGTAAATTAAACCAACGGCTAAATCTTAGGAGCAAAGGCTTTGCCTTATGAAGAGGGTCTCCAATAATGTAAATCAGTATATTTGTCTGATCAGATTCCCTTTTATAAATGGAAAAAAGCATTTGGCACAATTTGGCCACTTTTTGACACTGTGCCAAAATCACCTTTCCTCCTAACACACTGCCCACTAAAAACTTCATGGAACAAATGTGCTTCGACTTTTTCAGGCCAAATTTGCATGAGTTATAGTCAAGATGTGGATCTATAAAGTCTGAGGGTTTCAAAATTGGCTTCCATGCTGTTTTGCAGTGTTTATTATGGAAAAAACATTTGGCAAGTTTAAATATTTTTCATTTTTTCTTTTTTTAATCACCTATAAATCAGACATGGTGACATTTAAAATAGTGGTTCCACATGAAACATATTCCTCAATGCCTTTCCGTCATAAAAATACAAACAGTTGTATTTCAAATTTATAGTTTAGGAGCTGGACTTGCTTTAATTCACAAATGTAATTTCAGGTAGAATCTGCCCTCTGGGCTTAATAAGCAGAGGATTTACAGCTCTTCATCAAAGCCACGGAGGGGATGCAATCATTCAGTTCAGGTTTGCTGGAGCAGAGATATTTCTAAAATGTGATAAAGTGAGATGGTCCAAAAACCAAAAAGGTCCGGACAATGAGGACTGAATCATTTTGAGCGTAACTGTGGCTGAAAGTCATGAAAAACCAACCAAACAGTCTTGACTTCCATAAATAAAGAATACACACACAGAGGGTGTTTTCATCATTGCTGGGGATTTTAACCAGGCTAACTTGAAGACTGTTCTCCCTAATTTTTATCAACATGTGGACTGTGTGGAATGTGGGTGAAAACATTTTAGACCTGGTTTACTCTAACATCAAAGATGCATTCAGAGCAGCCCCCCGCCCCCACCTCGGGTCATCAGATCACCTCTCAGTCATGCTTAACACTGCATATAAGCCCCAGCTGATCATGGCTAAACCAACAGTTAAAGAGGTCAGAGTGTGGTCTGAGGGCGCCATGGAGAAACTCCAAGCCTGTTTTGAATGCTCTGACTGGAACATCTTCAAGGCTGCAGCAACATATGACACAACTTATAAAATATTGATGAGTATGCCATGACTGTGTCAGCCTACATTAACAAATGCATTGAGGACGTCAGCATAAAAAAAAAAAAAACATCACCACCCGGGCCAACCAACCACCCTGGATAAATGGAGAGGTTTGGAAATCGCTAAAACCACAGAACTCAGCTTTCTGAGTTCCATCTGTTGATAAAGAGGCACTGAGAACAGCGCGTGGCAACTTGAACCGTGCCATTCAATCAAGTCTGCCTCCATTATTAAATTAAATTCAATCAGTTTATTTCTATAGCGCCAATTCACAACACAAGTCATCTCAAGGCACTTTACAGTTCAACCAGATCATACAGTCAAATTGATTCAAAGTTTTTATTCCAGTCCCAAAGAAGCCTCAGGTCACCTCACTCAATGATTAGCGGCCTGTCGCACCGACTCCCATCATGATGAAGTGCTTCCAAAGGCTGGTTAAAGAACACATTGTCTCCAGTCTGCCGCAAACATTCGACTCGTTCCAGTTTGCCTACCGACGGAACCGCTCCACTGAGGACGCCATCTCTGCTGCCTCACAGTATATACATCATATACACTATATTGCCAAAAGTATTTGCTCACCTGCCTTGACTCACATATGAGCTTAAGTGACATCCCGTTCCTAATCCATAGGGTTCAATATGACGTCGGTCCACCCTTTGCAGCTAGAACAGCTTCAACTCTTCTGGGAAGGCTGTCCACAAGGTTTAGGAGTGTGTTTATGGGAATTTTTGACCATTCTTCCAGAAGCGCATTTGTGAGGTCGCACACTGATGTTGGACGAGAAGGCCTGGCTCTCAGTCTCCGCTCTAATTCATCCCAAAGGTGTTCTATCGGGTTGAGGTCAGGACTCTGTGCAGGCCAGTCAAGTTCATCCACACCAGACTCTGTCATCCATGTCTTTATGGACCTTGCTTTGTGCACTGGTGCACAGTCATGTTGGAAGAGGAAGGGGCCAGCTCCAAACTGTTCCCACAAAGTTGGGAGCATGGAATTGTCCAAAATGTCTTGGTATGCTGAAGCATTCAGAGTTCCTTTCACTGAAACTAAGGGGCCAAGCCCAGCTCCTGAAAAACAACCTCACACCATAATCCCCCCTCCACCAAACTTTACACTTGGCACAATGCAGTCAGACAAGTACCGTTCTCCTGGCAACCGCCAAACCCAGACCCGTCCATCAGATTGCCAGATGGAGAAGCGCGATTCGTCACTCCAGAGAACGCGTCTCCACTGCTCTAGAGTCCAGTGGCGGCGTGCTTTACACCACCGCATCCGACGCTTTGCATTGCACTTGGTGATGTATGGCTTGGATGCAGCTGCTCGACCATGGAAACCCATTCCATGAAGCTCTCTGCGCACTGTTCTTGAGCTAATCTGAAGGCCACATGAAGTTTGGAGGTCTGTAGTGATTGACTCTGCAGAAAGTTGGCGACCTCTTCGCACTATGCGCGTCAGCATCCGCTGACCCCGCTCCGTCAGTTTACGTGGCCTACCACTTCGTGGCTGAGTTGCTGTCGTTCCCAAACACTTCCATTTTCTTATAATACAGCTGACAGTTGACTGTGGAATATTTAGGAGCGAGGAAATTTCACGACTGGATTTGTTGCACAGGTGGCATCCTATCACAGTTCCACGCTGGAATTCACTGAGCTCCTGAGAGCGACCCATTCTTTCACAAATGTTTGTAAAAACAGTCTGCATGCCTAGGTGCTTGAATTTATACACCTGTGGCCATGGAAGTGATTGGAACACCTGATTCCAATAATTTGGATGGGTGAGCAAATACTTTTGGCAATATAGTGTATATATATATATATATATATATATATATATATATATATATATATATATATATATATATATATATATATATATATATATATATATATATATATATATATATATATAGTATATATGGTAGATACAGCACTGGGACTTGATCAACAGCCGATACAGCACCGTGACATCACAAACCAGTAGGTGGCAGTGGTGTTCTTTAAAAAACATGGATGACTAAAGCACATTAGAATCAAAATTAATCTGAATAAAAAACGCTGATCATTTATTGGACAGTATGTAATAATTTAATATTTAAAGTGAATGAATTTTAAATATGACCGGATTTTTCCTTGAAATTGGTGAGACAACTTGTCACAAAGTCCTTTTCTATCTACTGCTCTGCATTTGGAGGTTAGGTAAATTAAGAGTAAAGAGTAGATCATTGTACTCTACTCTATTTTAGCATATACTATATTCTTCAAGTATTGATATTTCTATGTTAATGCTGAAAAATATAGATTTACAAATATTTTTCACCTAAGTTGTGTTTTTGTAATTTATTTACTTTGACTATGTCGTCTTTTTAAATGTATGTCTCACATATGATGCCTTGTTAAAAAGAAAGACAGAACTAGAAATGCAAAGAACATTTACATAAACCATTCAAATTTGGAAAGAAAATAATGCAGTGGATAACTTCCGGAACCGGAACGTCACTAATGACACGTATTCAAAATGGCGGCCGGGGCTATGGTAAGTGGCAAAATGAACTCTTTCCTCTATCAGCACGTTGTCCTCTTTCTGTTTTTCAAACAATAAAGACACTTTAACATAATGGTGGCAGAGGAGAACATTAATCGAGCCGTCATATAGCATTTAAATCTAAAAATTCACCTGATATCATTGGTTGAATCTTTGCACTGTTGCTAACTGGGTTAGCCTGCTAACGCTAGCTAACTGCTGTGTCGCTGGGCTGTAGCTGCTGCGGGGTTTTTTCTGTGTTGCTTTTAAAGGTTAAACTGTGAGCGTTCATATATTAATGGTGTTGTTTTTCAGCAGTTAGCGGGCGGGCGGTCAGAGAAACAGCGGAGGGCTTCCTGTTAGCTTCCACCTGGAAGCGGCTGCTTTAGCCGCTGGGATTATTGTGACTGTTATCATGACGCAAAGTGTCATTTTCAACATTATATATATATATATATATATATATATATATATATATATATACACATAAACTAAAAGAAGACAACTAGCGTGATCTCAGTGATGATCATCAGGATGATTTAGCTGCTAATGAGAGTTTTAGACGTTAAACTAAAGCAAGGATCAGATAAATATAGAGAAAATGAGCTGCTGTCTTGGTTTTAATACAGTTTGATTGTTTTTAGTGATTGATTATAGCTAATGTAAATGATTTCAATCATATCCTGTCAGTGCTAAAAGATTATGCTTAAATAATGAGTCAAATAAGAAGACTGACAGTTGTATACACTGCAAAAACGATACAGAAATAAGTAAATATTTCTTAAATTAAGTGTATTTACCCTTAATTTGAGTAGGTGAACAAGATGATTTGACAATGGAATTAGTTTTTTTACTCTTAAAATAAGATAATTAGATAATATGCACTAGAAAAAGACAAAGTAATAGTTTTTTTCTTATTTTAAATGTAGATTGTCGTGTTCTGTTGGCAAAGTGGCTCACTTCCCTTATCAGTTTAATAGAAAATTCACTTATTTTAAGGGTAAATTCCGTATTTACATTTAGATTTTTTGCACTGTAGGTATTGGTGTTAATGAGTCATGTGACACTGGGTCCAGACAACTTTAAATGGTGGCCTCGAGTATCTTCTGATGCTTTTTCCTTATCAGGAAAGCTTTACTTGAACAAACATTTACTCCTGATGCCTTTTCTTAAATGTGCCGTGTCACATCACTATCTGTGTCTGGAGCAAGATTGACCTTTTTTTACTGGTCAAAAATGTCAGACTCCAATACTTTGATTCAGTGCTTTTCAGAGATAAGCTAATCTGCTGCCGCTGGTGAAGATTCTCAGTTTCTCCGTTTCTATTAGCATGTTTTCTAAACATAAACAAGGCTTTGTTGGGCTACTGGATAAAACCTGGAACTAAACACTGTTTCTGACATTTTGAATTGAAAAAGCTTCCTGGATGGGAAGAGAAACGTCTTCAAACTTGGAAACAAAGTCCAGTGGATTGTTTTTAACTTATTTGGAAATTACTAATCTACTGTCACATTTCAGGTGGAAACATTAAAGTCAGAGCTCATTCATCTACAGTCCAACTATTTTCAGTTCAGTTCAAGTTGGGTGAGTTCAGGGAAATATGGTATGATTAAATTCAGATATGTAGTTTGTTGATATCTGCTAGTGGATCTCTGGGACTTTTTTCTCCACTGGAGTTGTTAACATTTTAAATTAAACAATGGGGTTTTGATTTAGTTTGAGTTTTAAACTGACTTTACCTCTTTTTTTCCTTTTCATCAGTGGGGCATTACTGTTAGCTAGCGGAGAAATGGGGGTATTTCACTGGAACAACAACTGAAACTAGCACGTCACTGCCTCAAACATTTATTGCAGCTACAGAAGCCTCCGTGTGTCAAAAAACGTACCAACTTAGTGTCAGTGAAGTCTCTGCAAGCTGACACTTAATGTGACAAAAAGCCGGCATTCATCATGGCTTTAAAGCTTCTAAACCCGCATAAATCTGCAATTCACTACCATTAAAATCTGGATATTTTTACAGGATTTGCTGTTGTGCTACTAGTTGCTTCTGCTGCAAAAAGCAACTCTATATCAACCAAATGGGAAAAAGTTAGCTCTACTCTAAGGCCGTACAGTTCATTTGCTTGTCAAGGAGAAACATGGTCATTTCAGGCTCACTTTTGAAATCTTTCTCCTTCATTAGCTCCTCCCGTCTGCGGACAGCTAGCATGATGTTTCTCCTTGTTTTCTGATGTCTCTGATTTCATTGTCTCATAAGTTTTCTTTTTCTCTCTCTTGGGGATGTTGAACAGGCTTGTTTTGCTGCTGCTGTTTATGAATAGTCCTGTATGACCCTGCATTGTCCTGCAGTAGTGCAGACTTTCAGACGTTGGGTTAGCATCTCCAAATGATCTTCACTGCTCCCTCTCATTCACACTGAACTGCCAGCAGGGCGAAGGCGTTGTTCGTCCATGCGTTAGTACTATTCTAACCCTCACAGGCATCTGTACTTTCAAGATGGCAGACTGATGATGGTGCTTTGAAAACTGACGAGCTTTATGTATAAACTAACATTCTTTGCTTATCAAGGTGTATTTGATTGTTAGCGGAGGTAATAATACACCAACAATGACTAGGGCTTGGTAATAAATTGCTTTTGCAATATAATGACAATTTAGCAAAACACAATTTTGCAATTGTATAAGCTGTCAAATGTAAGCACATTACAAGAGTGAGATACTACATTTCTCCAGCCCTTTAGGTGGCAGTAATACACCTAAAGTGGGTTTTCTGTCACACAGGAGGGAAGGGAGAGTTGCAACTAACTCATGGATCCATGCATAATAATCAAAGTAAGAACCTTTGAAAGCGACGGTTACAGAAAAGTTCCTCAACAATGGAGTCTGGACCAGAAAGCTTTTAAAGTCATGAAGAAAATCCAACCCAGAGTGAAACATCTAAATATTTTTGTGGTTAGCGCAGAGGAAAACTGCCAGAGTGTGAATCTGTGAACACCTGGAACTAAACCCCCATGGTATGGATGCATGGTAAAGGATTTCCAAGGCTTCTTCAGAAGGAAATATGCTTAATAGCTGTAGTGGGGGGCCCCAGACTCACCCTTCAGGGTCCGTGATAGAAAAAGAGGCGATGCGAGGCTCCCCAGATCACTGGGACACAAGGGGGGCAGACAAAGGGAGGGCAGCACCCACCAAAGAAGGCCAGATGAGAGGACCCGGGTTATGAACCCCAAGGGGCCAGTCCCTGAGGGGCCCGAACCCAGAGGCCATAGTGCCGAAGTCCCCCAGGTTAAAACGTGTTCTTTGTGCTAAATGTTCTGTTTTCATTTAAGGGCAACGGTTTAGCTTTCATAAGAATGAGTGAAAGCCGTTAGCTTTAGCAGACGAAGGAGTAAGTTCCATCCATATTTTTTTCCTGTGGGTGTTAGCATGTTTTTCCTCTCTTACTTTGTTCTGAGTCATTATGAAATATGACTGGTTTAACATCAAATGGGAAAAAAAAACACTTTTTTTCTCCTCACTTTGGACTGTAAAAGTTGTTGGGAAGTTTAGTAAATAAAAAAAGGGATAAAACTGATCTGAATCACAGTAATTTCCCTTTTGGATTATTAAAGTATGTCTGAAACTGATCTGAATCACGTCAGGAAGATTAAATATTTCTCCCAGATCTAAACCAGTAAGACGATTAAACTGGTTACAGAGCGGAGCTCCAGCATGGCAACGAATTTGATCAAAAGACAATAGAATCTCCTTTTAATTTTAATAAACCAGGTTGTTTTCTTTACTTATAACTTATAAGGGTTGCAGCTGTCAGTTATTTCAGCAATTGATTAATCCAGCAACATTTTAATTAATGTAAAAAGAGATTCTCTCAGTGAATCAACATACTTAACGTTTGAACAGTAGAAAACATTTATTGCACATTTTAGATTAATTGCTGGTTACTAAAATATGTAAAAAAAAAAATAAGTATTTGTTTTGTTTTTTTTGGTTGTAATTGTTTGTATTCTGAGGTTAGCATTATTTCACTCCTGACTTAGTTGATTGTTTCAGTAATTAATTGATTAAAACTAAATAAGTTATGATACATTGCAACGATCCACACAGCCTGCCTTTCTTTCTACATCCTGGATCTTTTTCTGTTGCTCTGTCATGTCTAATGTGATTATAATGTGCTTTATTCAATATTGTAGATCTGAATCTGTTAGTTCAGTCTCTAACGTTCTGTATTACTATATTATTGCTAAGCTAAAGTTAAGTACTGAAGACAGAATAATCTAAACTCGTAATCTCTTAGGGTTCACTTAGGCTACGTTCACGCTGCAGGCCTTGATGCTCCATTCTGATTTGTACATGATCTCCGGTGTGAACTGCATTCTTACAGCTTAAGTGTCCCGCATGCGCAGTAGAGAACGCAATGGCGTCACAAGCCAGCGTGCTTCGTGGTTACGGAAGTGAACGTGGATGTAGTGCTGGAGCGCATTTAGCGATCTTTCAAAACCTTAAAACCTCAATCTTTTCAAGATGGTTAAAAAAAAAACTGCTCGCCGCATCATCTTCCGCCATGGTGTTTGTTTTTCTTGCTGCTTCTGTGTAGCAAGAAGCAGAATAGTGATCACTGTCGGTTATTAATGGCGTTCAGGTCGGATAAATACGACCTGGCTGTTTAGATGCAGGTCGTATTTGAAAAGATCAGATTCGTATCGGATTCAGGACCACAGAGCCAAGTGCTCTGGGTCGCATTGGAAAAAATCGGATCTCTGTCGTTCAGACTGACATGAAAAGATCCGATCCAGGTCGCATATGGGCCAAAAAATCGGATTTGGGTCACTTCAGGCTGCGGTGTGAACGTAGCCTTAGAGAGTCCCAAAAATCATGTTTTAAGGCTTTCAGGAATAAGAGGATATATTTCCAGTCTAGATATTTTTAAACATTTCAACTGAACATGACTGTTTTCTCTAATCATCATTAATTTAAACATTGATATAAAAATATAATTCTTTTTTTAGTTGTTGTTTTTACAATTTTCTGTATTTTTACATTTCTGGATAACTTATTATCATACTGTTGAAGAATGTGGAGAGGTCTGAATTTTAAAATATTTCTTTAAATCATTTCTTAGGATTAAAAACATAATTATAATCAGGCCTGTGAGCCTTCATAAACGCGGCAGTTTAAAGTATAACTCTTACAGTAAGTATGTGTGGCGTACGTGTTTTGCAGGAGACGTGGCGGGCCTTGCTGCTACTAGCCCTACTTCCTGTGGGCGGGGCCTTCTACGTTCCTGGAGTTGCTCCTCAGAACTTCCATGAAGGTGCTCAAGTAGAAATCAAGGTGAGCTTCAAACTCTGGTCAGAAATCTTTGAGGTTTTGACAGTAAGATAGTTTATATGGAGCTAAAAGAGTTTGAGAGAAAATAAATGTGAAGCAAGGATTCTTAAAGGGGAACGCCATTTTTTTTTTCCATTGGTCCCTTGATTTTCCGTTATTCCATCATGTTCTACTCACCCATATGAGTTTAGTGTCATTTGGAGCCGTTCTGAAGATATTCCGTTAGGTTATATCCAGTAACGTCTTCCTATGGGCAACGACTTGAAGGCACAAACTAAACTGTTTTATTCTTTATGGTACGCCAGCATTCAGAACATGACTCTCTTTATTCACGTTTTCTAAATATATTTTTAAAAGTCACCATATTAGGATGTTTTTTTGTCAAGTAATATTTATCGCAATATTTGACCTCGCTTTAGTCACAGCCAATCACATGAAGCCATTCACAGTAGGATTGATTTGATGTTTTCCTGCAAAAACCTTAGAGTTAAATGTAGCTTGGGGGGCGGGGCTATTTGCATGAGGCTTTATTCTGATTTGTTCTCCAGGCAGTGAAGCTGACCAGCTCCCGCACTCAGCTTCCATATGAATACTACTCTCTGCCTTTCTGCAAGCCTGAGTCTGTTTTATACAAGGCTGAAAACTTGGGTAAGTGGCTCCACACTGTGGCTCTGTTTCTATTTATTTATTTTTTTTAATGTCTTTAATTTTTAAAATAAATGTAGTTTGTTTATCATGGCTTAGATGAATCTAAAGCACTGAACTGTTCAACATTTGAATCAGAGATGTTTACCTTTTAGATCTACTGTTATCTACTGTTTTATGCCCAAATTCAAACTGAATTTATTGCAGTTGTTGTCAGAGAAGCTTTGCCTTTTTTCACAATTATAAATCAACCCTGAAAGGGTGAATGATCCAACATTGAGCCCAATTGGGGAAGCTTAAAGGCCGTAAAGAGGATTCTATGGTGGAAGATACGTCCAACGGCTGTTTGTGTATTTTTAAATTGTGCGCATGCATCAGTGCATCAGTTCTCTACGCTGAAAACTTCTCCGCTGGTCATTTTGATATAGAATGGTGTTGACAGCCAAAGTGGGAAAAGCTATCAAATGAGCAGACAATATATATCACTGGAAGGTTTTAACTTTGCTTTTCTATTTGGGTATGCAAAAAGGGGAGGATCACTTAAATTTAGGTGGATATTAGCTACTGAAATACTGCGATGTGTGAGGGATGTTTTCTTTATTCTAGCATCATTTAGAAAAATAAAGTTTGTGCTAGCTGTGCTAATCAGCTGCACGACTCCTAACGGCTTGAGATAACGCCCAGTCTTTGTTTCATAGAGCCTGTGATTGGTTTTCCAGCTAACAGCTGATCGGTTGCTCTCGCATTGTTAGCTTACTGTCATCTTTGTTTTGCGTCTAGAAGAGGGACAGACCTGCTGGTCCATCAGGCAGCGATCCGTCCAACTGCAACAGTTACAGAGAAAATAAAAATAGCTTAAAGTTTCTGCTAACATCCAGGCGGATCAGTGGAGGCTTTGCTCTGACTCTCTGCCTCCTCTCTGCCACGACTGCTGCCAGCGTTTGCTGCTGAGTCTGATCACCTGTCAGTGCTTTAGAAGTGGGCGGGGCTAACAGCAGCACTCACTGTTTGCTGAGAACCATAAACTCAGAGTGAAACAACTACTCAGCTTAATCGCGATTAATCAATTACAGAAATAATCTTCAACTAATGTAGTAATGGTTTAATCATTAACTGGAGTGTAGAGAATCTAAAACGTGCCTTTAGCTGACAGAACGACCAACTTAGAGCAGGAATTATATCAAAATGGTAAAGAAAATATTTAAACATTTCGCATTTAAGATTACAAATCGTTTTCTTCTGTCTATCTGCTCTATCCAGAACTCCTCAAGTGCAAAAGTTGTTGCAAATGATGTGTTAACATTTCAAAACCTGCTGTATTGTAAAACAGTCCTGATTAAATCTAACTGCAGCCTCACTGCTGTTTTTCTAGCATTAGCTGCATCCGCTGTCAACCAATCTTCCTCATTCAGGTCAAGTTGTTCCTTATTAAGTTATTTAGGTGACGCTAAATTCAGGCTAATCGTTGAGTGTAATATACTAGCAAAAACAACATGTTGAACTGCGATTTGGTTAGAAGAGTTTTACAAAATAATGAGTTTCTCAGTTTATTTAAATCCCTTTAACATTGTGATTCAGGGTGCTTGATGAAGCATTATTCAAAGTTTGGCTTCAGCAGGTAATTGAGGAGGATGGAGAGGCTGTTTGCAAAGTTCAATTTAGTTTATTTATATAACAGCAATTCATGACAAACGTCGTCTCAGGTCTCTTTACGGAGACGATTCAACCAGATCATCCAGTCAGATTGATTCAAAGTTTTCTATCTAAGGAAAACCAGCTGATTGCATCGACTCATTGACTCTTCAGCAATCCCTCACACTAAGCATGCTTGTAGCGACAGTGGAGAGGAAAAACTCCCTTTGAACAGGAAGAAACCTCCAGCAGAACCAGGCTCAGTGTGAGCGGCCATCTGCTGAGGCCCACTGGGGTTCAAGGAGACAGAAGCAGACATAGAAAAAGAAGCATAGATACAAAAGGCAACTGTCAACCAGCTCCACAGGCGGCCCCGTCCAGGAAACACACAGCCAGGCAGACGAGCTCCGAGCCAGCTCCCATGTCAGAGGATGAAGAGAGCACATTCAGTTAGTCACAGTCAGAGAAACAGGACTACACTGGAAAACAAGCCAAGCTCCAACATCTAGAAACAAAGGTGTTGATGGCAGCAGCACAGCTGATATTTCTCTCCAGGATGGAGTCACAGCCAAACAGGAACAGACCAGATGAAGCTACTATGAGAAAAAGCAGAGAGAGCAGAACGTTAGAGATTGAACTAACAGATTCTGCAGAGTGGGAGAATAGAGATAGAATGAAGCAGAATGATGAAAAAGGGGTCCCTATGTCCTCCAGCAGTCTAAGCCTATAGCAGCAGAACTATAGAGATAGCTCAGGATAACCTGAGCCACTCTAACTAGAAGCTTTATCAAACGTTTTAAGCCTAGCCTTAAAATAATTTTAATTTACTACTGATTTTAGTTTGATTTTTTCTTTCTATCTGCTCCTGTTCTTCATCTAGGCGAGGTCTTACGTGGAGACCGGATCGTGAATACACTGTATAATGTAAAGATGAACGAGGAAAAAAAATGTGAGCTGATGTGTGGCAAGAAGACGCTGAAAGTGGAGGAGAGCAAACTGGTGGCTGAACGCATCCAGGAGGAGTATTACGTTCATCTGTGAGCAGTTTAACATCTCTGATGAAGCAGAAATGGAAACCATTTTAAATTGTTCCTTACAGATTCCAGTTAGGGTCACAAGGTTTTAGTTTCTCACATCAGTCTACTCTGTTAATCTCTGCTGTGTTCAGAGTGGATATTTCACAACACATCGTCTGAAGGCACTTTACAATTCAACCAGATAATCCAATCAAACTGATTCAGCGTTTTATATTTAAGGAAAACTAACTGATTTAAAGGTTTAACTTTCAATCCGGAATGAACCGAGGCCTTGATGTGTCCTTTCAGGATTGCAGACAACCTTCCAGTGGCCTCCAGGTTGGAGTCTTACCCCAGCAGAGAAGCTGGAGGGGATGAGGGGCAGAAGAAGGTCGCAGACAGAGATGTTCTGTTTGAGCATGGCTACAGACTGGGCTTCGTCGACAACAACAAGGTTGATTTCACAGTCACTCTTTCCTCACAGAACTTCTCTGTTCTCTACTTTTCAGTCTTCCTCTGCTGAATCCACAAACAGTGAGCGATCCGGTTCATTCCAGACGGTTTAACCACTAAACCAACCATGACTGGGGCTTTGGCTACTGTCATCCTAAAATCCCTCATCCTGTGATGCTCAGTCTGATTACGACCAACTTTAGCTTCAGCACCGGAGCTGATGAGTAGAGTAGGCAGGACCAGGATCCCATCATACGACACAGGAAGATGATCAGATCTCCAGAGGATCACAGGCAGATCTGATCTGGTCCTGCTGACATTACGCTATATGATTGGCTGAACATTTCCACATGATGTAAAACATTTTGATATTAACCTCTTACACCCTCAGGGGGTATAAATAAATTTCTGCCTGACAAAAACACACAAAAGTAGATCACTTATAGCCTCACAGCTATTAGATTTAAGGAGAAACTTTTGGTACCTCTGTAAAGGTAAGATGTCATAGAATGGTTTTCTGGTGTCAGCACCATTGTAGCTTTGACCCTGCCTGAAATATTAGGGACAAAATAAACATTGCAAAACACTACCAAAATATTATTTATAGCACAAAAAAGTAGTACAGACTTTTAAATCTAAATGTTGTGTAAAAATATACCAAATTTGGACTCAATCAGATGAATCATATTTATTTTAGAGAGTATTAGTGAGAAACTTCTTAGGCGGAGAGGCCATTTTGGCACATTTATCCAAAAATGTCACCAAACTGTGCCAAATGTGTTTTTTACATCAATACTTGGGGTTTGTTAAAATTACGAGGTCACGTAGCAGCTGGACCCACCGGTGGGTCCGTAGGGTTCTAGGGGTTAACATCACGCAGCGTCCGGGATCTGTAGTTGTTCTCAGAGATGCTTTACCGTTTTTCAAAATAATAAATCAAACCCTGAAAGGGTGAAAGATCCAACATTGAGCCAAACTGGGGAAGCTTAAAGGGCATAGAGAGCGATCTGTAGCGTTAGCGTGGCTAATGATCGATTAAGTTTTACCTGATCTATTACAAAAGTAATAACCTATATTTGCTATTATTTTATATTATTTTTCATCTGCAATCTTAAGTAGCTGAAATTGGAAAATAATCATTCTCAGTTTTGAAGTAATACACTCCCTGTCTAACTGACTGAGCTAAAACAGGCTAACCTGTCATTGGTCACGCTAACACTACAGATGGTCCAGACTCTGCACACTGACACTGCGTGATGTTATTATCGCTGTCTGGGCAACACAATGTTTTACGTCATGTGGCAACATTCAACCAATCATATAGCGCAATGTCACTGGCATGCACAGGGCCTGGCCAGATCTGGTACGCCTACAATGAAAGCAGAGGTATCGCAGACTTTGAGAAGGGAATAAAACAAAGATCTTAAAATCAGTTCCATACTTGTTAAAATTAATTGTGTGTTTTTAGCTTTCTGCTTATATGTAAAGTTTTTCAAAAATGAAACATTTCTACTTGGCCAGAAAGGAATGGTTTATGTTTAAATAAACATCCGGGTAAATTTCAGGCAAGTTTTTCTTGTTTTTATTGTGAAGTTGGTCTTAACTTTTTATTTCAAGTGGCATTAAAAAGTCTTAAAAAACCTTGAATGAAACTTTCCTTATGCTGTAAGAAGCCTGTGAAAGTCATATTTCAAGATGTCCCATTTATCCTCCTCTGCCGTCAGATCTTAGGTCATATTTAAATGTCAAATCATTCTGGCTTAAACATGTATATAAATGTTCTCTTTATCAGAAAATTTCTATTTTCAAAAAATCCTGTATTTTTCCCGTTATCTTCTGCAGGCCAGTTAGTTCTACGTCAGCCTGAACACCTAAATTCGGCCAATCATATATCAACGGTCATCTGTCAATCAAATGTTTTCGGTCATAGCATCTTGATTCATCTGTCGCAGCTAATATACGCAACGGTTGAAACCAGAATCCTTTCCTTTCCCATTGAGTTGCGTCCCAGTGTTCACGGGGATGGACGTCTGTGTCTTCGGCAGGCGTAGAGCTAACAGAACTGGCAGCGTTGCGAGGCAAGGGCTCAAACATGTACGGCTGGAAGCCTTCTACACCAAACCAAGCTTCTGCCGCCCTGGCGTCCTCTTCCACAACATCTTCGTCCCCGCTTTCCTCCTCTAAATAAAAAATGGATGACGGAGGAGACTCATCCACGACCTCCGACACTAAACTCTCCTCCTCTTGCATGTTTCCGCTGTCCATAGCGTTCCTTGACAGCGTCGTTTCTAAGTCACCAATTTAGTGCTACTTGGTCCCAATGGAATTTCCCATTGGGAACCTGCTAGCACTAAGTTGCTAACTGGTTAGCAAGATATACAACCAATCACATTCACTTTATTCACTGGTGTAAAGTTATTATTCAGAAATGGAACGGCCGCTTCCCTACGACTTTAATAAAAAGAATAAAAATAAACTACGACTTTTTGTGTCACCTTGTTAAATGGCAGAGCTCAGTCTTAGAACGCAGTTCTTTCCTTCCAGACTGACAATGATTGTTTTCTACTTTTGGCTACTTTAGTTCACCAATGAAATGGTGAACTAAAGTTCACCATTTAGTTCACTACTTTAGTTCACCAATGAAATGGTGAACTAAAGTAGTAAAATAATAGCAAATATAGGTAATAATATTTTGAGACTCCAAAAGAAAGTTCAGTTTCCTGTTTGAAGACGGAATAGAAATCATCTTATTTGAGCCTCAGTGGGGCTGAAATGCATCAGAGACGTCGGTGATAGAAACTAACTGAACCTTTTCTTTTTTTTTTTTTACAGTTTTATCTGCACAACCACCTGTCCTTCATCCTGTACTTCCACAGTGAGAAAATGGAGGAGGGAGAGACCCACAACTACAGAGTGGTTCGCTTTGAGGTGATACCTCAGAGTGTCAAAGTGGAAGGTCGGTGTTCACTGGTTCTCCAGACGCTCTGGCTAACCTGAGCCTAATGCTAACAGCTCTGTGGAATTAGAACATTTATTTTTTTTCTTATTTAGATCTGAAGGCTGCTGAAACGAGTAAAACTTGCACTTTGCCCGAAGCCAGTGTCTCCGCCCCTCAGGAGATCGACCCAAGCAGAGATAATGAGGTTCTCTTCACCTATTCCGTCACCTGGAAGGTCAGCAGCAGGAAACGCTTCCCGATCACACATCAGTTTCACCCTTCAGTTCCCCGATTTACCTGATTTATCATGAACTATCAGAGATTTTTAAATGCCGGTGTTCTGTCAGATGAGCAAATCCGGTCAGATCAGCCAGTCAATATCCGTTTATTCCTTTAGTTTATGTACGAAGAATAAACAAATTGTTGTGCTTGCGTATTGACTATAGGTATGCCGGCCTGATGGGGTATGCTCATCTGACAGAACAGCTGCCAATAAAATGTAAAATTAGTTTAGTGGTTGATATCAAACCGATATCCAATACTGTTATCAGATCGGGACGTCCGTCCTGTAAAAACAGCTTAATGGATTTAACTTAACAAATCAGGGTAAAACGGTTTTTAAGTGTATTTAAATAAATTAAAAGGTAAAACTGATCTTTTTCTGCTGAATGCAGTGATGATAGAAACAGATTTATCTGAAAGTTCTTCAGTGGTCAGAGACTTTGCCTTAGATTAGTTCTTCATTAAGTCCAGACGTCACCTGACAGAGTCTTTAAGATCCCCCAGAACTTTACTTTATTTACTGGTCCTTTTTTTTATTGTTTTTGGTTGATTATTGTTTTTGTTTCTTCATCATTTTTAGTCTCTTTAGCATCTTTTCTCTTCTTGGGCAGGAGAGTGAGGTGAAGTGGGCGTCTCGCTGGGATACGTACCTGACCATGAGCGACGTCCAAATTCACTGGTTCTCCATCGTTAACTCTGTGGTGGTCGTCTTTTTCCTGTCTGGTACGATACGCAGAAACAAACATTCTCCTGCAGAACGTCTTCAGTGAACAGAACATCTAGTTATCCTTCAATGTGCTAATTTATTCCGATTTGAGACGCCTGCTGATCTTAGGCCCTTTTTTAATTTCCTTAAATCTGATAAAAATCTACTGGGAGCCGATGACAGGGTTGGAGGATGGAGTTCAGAGGCTTCTTAGCAGCCCTGACAGGGCGGGGCCATTACTGATAGTTGTTTCACAAGACATATGAGATCAAATCAATTATTCTTCAGCTCATTTCTCATGTTTCTCATGTTTATCTACAGCTGTCTGTTAAAGTGTGCCTGCAGGACTTTTGGGATGCAGCTTTGATTCTTTTATGACCTTATTAGAAATAAAACATTGAGATAAATATAAGTTTCCATTCAGCTTAAAACTGATCAACATGATGGCCGTTTCTCAATGTGAGTGTGAGACGTTATCAACCCCAGCAGTGTTCCAGTTCACTAAAGCTCAGAGTATTAAGATAAAAGTTCTCTTTTCTGTCGCTGTTGTTGAATAAAAGTACGTTTTAAGATCATTTGAGGCGAGAATATTATACTTAAACAGGTCATAGATGCAAAACAGAGCTTCCATTGTCATAAATGAATAACGATAGTTCAGTGGGTGAAATGCACGTACAGACAAGTTTATATATATATATATATATATATATATATATATATATATATAAAAAATAGGGATGCACGATATAATCGGCCCCCTATCGGTATCGGCCTTAAAACTGAATATCGGACATCGGCCCCCCCACAGATATTTAACCCGATATTTGATCAGCTTCTGAGTTTCTAAAGTCAAAAAAAAAAAAAAAATACTACTTCTTCTTCTTCCTCAAAAACTTCTTTTTTACAGACTTAAAAACTTCTAAAGACGAGGGAAAAAATATTGATACATTAAAATATCCCAATATCTTCATATGCTGATATATTGCCATTTAAAAACACCATATCAATCTCTTTTACTAATGAAATATTGCTATATGTCATCGTTATGCTACGAAATCCCCTGAAAATTCACCAAATGTTGCCATATTTTTATATGTTGATATATTGACGCGGTATCGATCTATTTTACTAACAAAATCTCACAAGAATTTGCAAAATATCACGAGAGTTTGTAACAGAACGATGAAATTTCACAAGATTTTGAAAGTAAAATAGATCGATACCGCGTTTTTAAAAATCTATTTGATATCAGCATATGAAAATATATTTGAGTATATTATTTTTCAAAGCGTCAGAAATGGATAACAAAACTGCTATTTTCAATGACTACTTATTTTTGTCCAGCTTTAACATCGGTATCGATATCGGTTATCGGCTACATGAGTTTTAAAATATCGGCATATCGGATATCGGCCAAAATCCCAATATCGTGCATCCCTAGTTTATTTATATATATATATATATATATATATATATATATATATATATATATATATATATATATATATAGTTACTCTAATATTAAATATGTTTATCACAAATATATTAAAAACTTCTGCCAGTATTCTTAATGGTCTATTTTGCCCCCCCCCCCTCTGCGTCTCGTCCTCCAGGCATTCTGAGCATGATCATCATCAGGACGCTGCGGAAGGACATCGCTAACTACAACAGAGAGGACGACATTGTAAGAAAACTCACGCCGCCAGAGAGGAGATGCTTTTTTTCCCCACATTCGGAACAATGATATTTTATTGGGCTCTAACAGGAGGACACCATGGAGGAGTCGGGGTGGAAGAACGTCCACGGCGATGTCTTCAGACCGCCTCAGTATCCCATGATCCTCAGCTCCCTGCTGGGCTCAGGCATCCAGCTCTTCTGCATGATCCTCATCGTCATCTGTGAGTCTGGCCTCCATTGCTGCAGGAAAACCGTCCCTAAGCACAGAAACCATCGAACTCGCCGGTTATTAATGTCACTGGTCCGTCCTCACAGAGGAACAGACAGGATAGGACCCTCATGTTGGTTCCCAGTATGACAGGAGAGCAGCCGCCAGCCTGGAAATAAGGCTGAACTTGACTGTTGCTGTTTTAGATCAACTCTGTTCCACCTTTAGAATCGCTTTTATTATAGGAAATTAAATAGAACGTCCTATAACTAAATAAGTATTAAATGGATCACATGTAGATCATAGTAATACATTTTATGCATAAAAATATGCAGAGATGATCGGCTCCCTGAGAGGTGCTGTTCGATTCACACACCAAGTCTATGGGGGGCGCGTCGGAGGGTTCGACGCTGTAGTTTAGAAGCTGATCCATGAGTTTTTTGGGGGAGACGGACATTACCTGAAAGCTGTCATCATTTCTGCAGATAAAAAATAAATAAATATCAAGGAGTTAAACTCCAAACGTTCAAATAAAAGCCGGTAGAATGGATTGTTATGTAGAAGGAACCGAGAGCAGCTCTGATCATTATTGCTGCACTAAAACATCTTTTATGAACTATGGAGAAACGATAAAAAAACCCCGAAATTAACTAGATTTTAAAACCTGCCGATGAACAATATTTGGTTGTATATTGATACAGTTTTTACCACAAGCCTTAAAAACTCTTTCTATTCACTTCCTGCTGCTACGAACGTTAGCAGAGAATCTATGGAGAGATATTTGTGCCATTGGTTTGAGCGCGAAGGAACGAAACCGGTCTGGCGCGCGCTCAACTCTGGAAAACCTTCTCAACACACTGTTCTCACGCTCAGTTTCAACTCTGCTCGCGCTCGACCTGCTCTTTCCTAGCTCAACACCAGCTGTGCGCTCGGCTGTTTCTCCGCTCGCTCGACTCTCTGCGCTCGCGACTTCAGCAATGTATGTAAATGAACCATACCATCAGCCAATCACGCTCAGCTTCTTTTACTATTGGAATATTTTGAAGCATCCATAAAAAATGTAACATATGCAAAATATTTTTTTATCTATATATTGTTTAATCATACTTGAACCTGAAATATCCTCCTTATTTTTCTTTTAAAACAGCAAATTTAAATCCATGTCAATAGCAGGTAAAAGAGATGGACGAGGCAATGATCTAATAACTGTTTTACTGAAGTTTATTTTAGACAATTCAAGATATTTTATAGTACTATCTTCTGTCCATCAAATGGTTAGGAGCGTTGACCAAATAACTGCAAGAGTTGTTTGATTTTCCTGATTGTATTTTTATTTTTTTTCCATTTAAAGGGACACTATGCAACATTTTTCAGTTAATTAATGTGTTCCATAACGTTTTGGATGATTAAATGAGTCATTTCAGGTTGAACAAAGGTATTCTCGGCCGCCCTGGTGGTCTGTGGGGGAAATACTGCACTTGCAACTGCAGGAGCACCGACCCGCACCCACAGGCTCAGAAGTCTCGTGAGAGTCAGTCTTGCTTTACGGCGAGAACTGCTACACCCCCCAGTTAAAAGCATTCTCGTTGCTAGCACAGTGGCGATATTTGTGCAGTTATGCTACGTTCACGCAGCAAAAGCAGCAAAATCACGTCTGCTGCTTCATTTTTGCTGCTTGTACCAGTTAGTTCTGACGCGCGGCTGAAGCAGCTTTGCTGCTCCGGCTGTGTCTGAGGCGCGTTGGGCGGAGCTTCACTATCCTTTCTCTGCCTTGCAGCTATATATGCTGTGATCAGTGGGAATAAAGTAGTTTTAATATGTGTTTAAGTGAGAAAATACACCTGAAAACGTAATCAGTGCAGTCAGTTCATTCAGATTATTATCCTGCCTTTAATATTTTTTCTGTCGGAGCCGCTCAGACCCCCACATACCAGCGGGGCGCCGACAGTATGGATCCCTTCATCAGCAGCGGTTCACCGCGGCAGCTGGTAGGTGTTTTTCATCTAAATAATCCAAACTGCATATTCTGCCGGCAGATTTCTGCATTTTAAGTTAATTTAGGCGTCAATAAACTGTTTAAGAGGAGAGATCATCAGCGCTGTGTCTCTCTCCCTGCGTTTAAACGCACCCGACGCGCTGCTTCAGCTGCTCAGACGTGCTGCGCCTGCTGCTCAAAACGCGCCGCTGGACCTTTTGCTGCGCCTTGACGCACGTCAACCATTGACTTTGCATGTAAACTCGCTGCTTCTGTCGCGCCAGCTACGTCCAGTGTGAACGCAGCGTTAGTCATTCGCTGCTAAGCTCAAAACAACCGCGCCTGGCTTGACGGAGAAACCAGGAGAACAGCTGTGCATATTTACGACAGTGCACTTTTACTTTCGCCCTCTGGAGGGAGCCTCACTGGAAAATCAACACCGGTTGCATAGTGTACCTTTAACCGGATGTAGTATTTGGAACGAATGCTTTCCAGCAGAGACGGATCCGAGCACGCGCAGAGATGAAACTGAGCGCGAGAACAGTGTGTTGAGAAGAGTCTTCCCAGAGTTGAGTGCGCAGCAGACCGGTTTTACGCGCGTGTGTTGTCTCACTGAGCGCTCGGATTGGTTACTGCTCGCTCAAACCGATGGCACAAATATCTCTCCATAGAAATCCCCCACAGGCTGGCTGCAGCAGAGAGATTTCAGCTGGGATTTCCAGCGCCGCCTCCCGGCGGTATGCTGGAGGTCTGGAGCTCCCAACAAGAAAAGCAGATTTTAGTGGGATTATAATCCTGATGAACAGAAGATGTTTGGAGGTGAACTTTCTCCCTTAAAAACATGTTAAAAGTATTTTTCAACTCATAAATTAAATAAACCTGCGCCGCTCTCTAGCTTGAAGCAGAACAGAGCAGATAAACGTCCAGAGCGTCGAATCCTCAAAGCAACTGGATCAGTTTGATCCAGAATTTATGCATTTTTGACACTTAAAGCGTTTTTATTGTGAACGCAGCTTTAATCCTGTTTTATCTCCATGTATTACAGCGAGTTGGACCTTCGCTCAGTGATCTCTTGTTTTCCTCTTGCAGTTGTTGCCATGTTGGGCATGTTGTCTCCATCCAGCAGAGGAGCCCTGATGACCACTTCCTGTTTCCTCTTCATGTTTATGGGGTAGGAGCCTCAGCAGAAGCTTTAAACCCTCACAGAATCCCAGGAAGAGTCGCTCTGACTGTTGATGCTTTTCCTTTAGTGTATTTGGGGGTTATTTTGCTGGCAGACTCTACCGCACCCTGAAGGGCCATCGCTGGAGGAAAGGAGCTTTTTGTGTGAGTCCTTCCCTGGTTCATTCACTGTGTTATTATGAAGCATAAGCTAACGGAGCGTAGCATCAGGTGATGACAGTAACATCTAAGAAACCTTTTAGTCCAGAAATATTGACTACTTGTAAAACACAAACCTCATCTGAAACCGTATTTTATTATATTCCTCCGTCTAATGCTGGCCTGCAACTAACTATTATTTTGCAAATCAACTAATCAGTCCATTTTTTTCTATTAACCCTCTCAGGCTCAAATTAAGTTGTAGTTGCAGGAAAAATCTGATATTTGGAGAAAATTATCATATGGGCTAGTAATATACAATTCAGACTTTTTTTTGAGAGAGACCTTCACATGCAATGAATTCTGGGATGTTGCAGATTTACAACAGTGGCCCTTAGTGGTAAATTAACACTGAAGACAGATCTGAACGGTAACTTTATTTGAGTGTCACAAACAAAAAATTAACAAAACAAGATTCGGAAAAAAAAATGTTCTCTCTCAAAATTAGAGACAACTTTTTCTCAAACATTTTAAGGCTGTTTCTGTTAAACAAAATATAAGCAAACTAGTAGATAAAGCATGTAGCATCCATTGGTACCTGTTTGGGCACACGTTGCAAATCCGCAACATTGAAATCGAGATGCCTCTGGTGAAAAACCCAGAGGAGATAAAATCTACTAATTGGCATGTGTCATATCTATACACATGCATGATTCATCTTATGTAGTATGGATTTCAAAATAATGGAAATTGGTAGTGATACTTACGTGAAATTGATGCTTAGAAAATCAGTTTTCAGTGATACTAAGGACTCAGCCATGTTGAAAGTGAGTCAGCAGCGCCATCTGGTGAGCTGTAGAGAAACTGTTTGTTGCAAATGCACAACTAAGTCCTTCTGTTGTACTTCTGAGTAACAAAAGCTCTTAAAATACGGATGTGGAGTAATTAGCTAAGTGGCATTTAGATGTTGCAAATCTGCAACATCTGCTTGGAGAGGGTTAATCCATTAATAATCAGAAAGCCAAAGGTTCCTTGAAGAAGATTTTTTTATTCAATTAAATCAGGTGAAACTAAAACTTTTCCCCTTGAGAAGTTTTGGATACGTCAGATTGACAGAAGAAAAACATGTTTATCTTAAATGCAAAATGATAAATATTATTTTACAATCCTGGTATAATTCCTGCTCTAAGTGCAGGTTTTACAGTATCTATTCTCCAGCTAATGACCGATTACTAAATTAGTTAATGATTATATCAGTAATGGATTAATCCGATAGTTTCAGCTGTAATCTTATCCATATCTAATAGTGACTGAAACACAGATTAGTGATCTTGTCACCAAGCTGTTTTTCTGAAGATAGAAGGGAGGAAAGTGGGAATGAAGTCTGTTTTATGTGTTTTTCCTCCAGACGGCGACTTTATATCCTGGGGTGGTGTTTGCAATATGCTTCGTCCTGAACTGCTTCATCTGGGGGGAGCACTCCTCTGGAGCGGTGAGTTCAGATCTTAACATACGACCAGGAAGGATACCTGTCTGAAGGTTCATGAATGAAAAACTGCCATCGGTGCAGAACAGGTCAGCTCAGGTTTGAATCAAGTCCAGCTTATATGTCGGGGTTCTGATCCAAGTCTTGTGACATGTAGTTACAGACCAAACATTCACTTTTATTAGTCAACGTCCTGGTGAACATCCTCAGTCTTACAGGTGATATTAATCCCAAAAAGGTTAAAAAAAACAATCCACTGAACTTTATTTCCAAGTTTGAAGACGTTTCTCTTCCATCCAGGAAGCTTTTAAATTCAGAATGTCAGAAATAGCGTTGAGGTTTATAGAGCGGACCAAACAAAAGCCTTATTATGGCTAAAAAAAACATGCAGATTGAAAAACATGGAGGAGGCGGAGATTCATGTTGGAGACCTTACCCCATTTATTCTACCCTTGAAAAACCGACCCATACCGAGACCGGGCCGAGCTCAGATCAGTTAACCGGGCCGAGCTTGGATCAGTTAACCGGGCCGATCTCGGATCAGTTAACCGGGCAGATCTCGGATCAGTTAACCGGGCCGATCTCGGATCAGTTAACCGGGCCGATCTCGGATCAGTAAACCGGGCCGAGCTCGGATCAGTTAACCGGGCCGATCTCGGATCAGTTAACCGGGCCGATCTCGGATCAGTTAACCGGGCCGATCTCGGATCAGTTAACCGGGCCGATCTCGGATCAGTTAACCGGGCCGATCTCGGATCAGTTAACCGGGCCGATCTCGGATCAGTTAACCGGGCAGATCTCGGATCAGTAAACCGGGCCGAGCTCGGATCAGTTAACCGGGCCGATCTCGGATCAGTAAACCGGGCCGAGCTCGGATCAGTTAACCGGGCCGTTCCCCGACTCCTCGCCTCCTAGTGACGATCTGTGGTATTACTGCCAGTATTGAAGGAGGAAATCAAGCAGGTGGTGGCGGTAATGCACCAAAAGTTGTTTGTCAACCGCCATAAAACACAAGAAGAAGAAGACGAAGAAGGAGGGAATCAAGCAAATCAAAATGGCGGCGCCCGTCACATTCAGAAAGTTATGCTTGATTATTATTGCTGTACTTCGGTGTTATTATTTAAAATGCTGCGTGGAGAAGATTTCGATTGTTGTTTATAGTTGTTCTTTTTCTTCTGTTTTGTGTTGGTTGGCAAGCAACTTCCAGAGAGGCATTACCGCCAACTACTGGAATGGAGCGTGAATCGCGATGTGCAGCCAGACGGAGATGACGCGTTCTGCTCATGCGCTCTTGTTATCAGAGAACCAAGCCAGGGAAAAACCGAGCCGAGCCCACCTCTGGAACTGGTCTGCAGTTAGCTCGGTTCGGTTGTGTCTAGCTCGGTTCAGTTCAGTTTGCTTTCCATTTACACACGATAAGTTATCTCAGTTACTGAGCTCGGACCGGTCTCAGCACGGTTTTTCAAGGGTAGTGTAAATGGGGCTTCTGTGGAACAAACTGGGAACATCTTCAGGAGCTGTCCACTGATTAAAGCTTTCTGATGTGTTCCCATCATCTAAACAACATCTTTACTGAAAGAATCCCATGTAAATATAAATCCTTATATTTAAGAAGAAACATTTCATTTCATAACTGGACTCTGGGGAACAAAATACTGCTGTTAATGCTTCTGGCAGAAAGCGAAACGACAATAAGTAGAAAAAGGTTAAAGCCTGAAGCTGCTGCAGTTAAGGACCGGCTCAATAAACAGGACATTAACTTTCTGGAGAAGATCTTTGTTCAAGGTCGACGGGAATCATCTTCAGGATCTGGTCTAAATGGACAAACTCTGTAAAATCACTAAATATGTCTCTCACATGTAAATACTAGCATGCTGTGTGTTTTACCTCGGCTCAGGAAGATGGTAAAATGTTGATCCTGATCGAGCTTTTCCCCTAAAATAAGAACAATCAGACCCGTACTAGTGACCCTTTCTCTGTCCTCGTGTGTTTCAGGTCCCCTTCACCACTATGCTGGCCCTGCTGTGCATGTGGTTCGGCATCTCCATGCCGCTGGTCTACCTGGGCTACTACTTCGGCTTCCGGAAGCAGCCTTACGATAACCCCGTACGCACCAATCAGATTCCCCGACAGGTCCCAGAGCAGCGCTGGTACATGAACAAGTTTGTAGGGTAGGTCCTGCTCTTCTCCTTCATGTTCTCTCATGGGTTCGAACTCTGGGAACTAAACGAATCCCCTCCCCAGGATCCTGATGGCGGGGATTTTACCGTTTGGCGCCATGTTCATCGAGCTCTTCTTCATCTTCAGTGTAAGTCGCAGCGGTTCTCAGCTGGATCCTTTCATCTGCTCTAAGGTATCACCGCCAACATCCTGGTCTGTGTTTGTGTGTCGCCACCTACAGGCCATCTGGGAGAATCAGTTTTATTACCTCTTTGGCTTCCTGTTCCTGGTGTTCATCATCCTGGTGGTGTCCTGCTCTCAGATCAGCATCGTGATGGTTTATTTCCAGCTGTGCGCAGAGGTGAGCTCGCCGTTTCCTGCTCCGTCACACGGAGCTCTGTGATTGGTCGGCTGTCTCTTGACAGGCAGGACGTGATGCGTGTCTCTGTCTTCCTCAGGACTATCGGTGGTGGTGGAGAACCTTCCTGGTGTCGGGAGGCTCCGCTTTCTACGTCCTCATTTACGCCATTTTCTACTTCGTCAACAAGGTAGAAACCAGAAGAAACTTTGAAGCTTTTTCTCCTGCAGCAGAGCTGCCTTTAAACCAGGGGGGGGGGGCGATATGAAGAAAATCTGATATCACCATATATGTGGGCTATTTCACCATAAAGGATGTATATCACTCTATGTTTAAATTACCTTCCAAAGCAAGAGAGTCCATAAAATTACACTGATACTCATTCAGACTTTTGGTTTCTAATTTTTTTAATTTTATTTTAACCATCTCAAAGCTTTTCTGCCCCACGATGTCTTTGGGTTTCAGTTTTAGATCTTTAACAAGATCCCAGCAACAAAACAGGAAATAAAGCAAAAACACACAATAAAAAATAAATAAAATGCAAAATAAAAAAAAGGGCTCTTTTGTGCATAATAACAAAAAAGCGGAATAAAAAAAGAAATTGACCTAAACTTACAAGAACACATGGAAATACCGTCCAAAAAACCCACCATTATCCCTCCATCTCTTCCTGTTTCTTTTATATGGGGTAAATTTTTTCGAACGCCATCGGCTTCACAGCTGATTGAACATTTAAACTGGCGTGCGAGGAGACGCTGACATGCAGCGTTTACAACATCCTTCATTTAGCTTTTTAGGTGCTGGAATAAATTAGCTCTCCTGCCTTTTGCCTTTAGTTTGACGTCCTCGGCGTGAAATCCAAACCGCTGTCGTAGATCGCTCAGCTGAAACACCTGCTGCCGCCATATTTAGTTTGCCGGTTGCTGTAGTGTGCTTTAAAAATGAACCTGTTTGGAGGAGGGGGTTTTGATGCGTTCAAAGTGTGTGGGTAAATTAAAACTCTCAGTGAAATAGATGCAGATGGCGGCATGTCATCATGCTAATTTGTATTCCATGGCTGTGATATTCATTTTAACTATCGTGTGTCAGGAAAACTCGAGATACATGGAGTATATTCGATTTATCGCCACGCCCTGGTTTAAAGCAGACGATGATCAGCTGTGATGCAGCGCCACGAGTCTTTAATGGTTGACGAGCGGCGTGCAAACGCGACTCTTCTACGTATAAGTGGGGCTGCTTGAGTTTAGTTAAACAAACGATCGTAATTCTATACCCAATATCAGCAACATTCATACATCTAGCCTCCATTTTTCGGACGGAACGTCTTCAGGATGTGAGGATTCTCCGTCATCCGAAAATGTCTGAACCAGTTTAAGGAACCAGGAACAACATGACTCTGTTATGTCAGATAGAAAAGCTTCTTCTTCAGAGCAGAGCAGTGAGGGAGGAGTTCATCCTGCAAACCGATTCACCTGCTGCAGCCTCGTCTGAACAGAGGACATTCTTCACATTGAGTCGGTTCAGAGTGAAGTCTAGTTTTAAACTCACAGGATGACGCAAAGAAGCACAACTTTCCCCTCAGGCTCCAACAAACCTTCAGCCAAAACAGTTTCTTCATCCAGTCAGTGAAGTCTGAAGGCGACGGGATCAAATCTATGACCAGAGTTTCTACCTACAGGAAGAACCATAAGGTCACAGTCAGTCTGGCTCAGCGGAGATGATCGCTGAGCAGCTGCGTCCGCTTTAGGCCTGATTCGCTGGCCGATTCCTTCGTAGCGCAGCGCCGAGGTCTGTTCGGATTCCATGACTCCTCGTTATGCAGCCAGAAATGCATCCTTCTTTTTGCTGGAAGGACGGGTCCGCTGTGTCCTCTGTAGCCTCGGGTATCCCATGATTCATTGCAGGTCCAAGCAAGCCGGCTCCTCCGTGATCAGAGGAAAAGGGGAAATGGCGCCCTCGTTAATTTCTCTCCTACAATATTAACTGGCCTCATGTTGCAACCAGCAAAATGTTTTCACACTTTGAGTCGATGGTGGTAGAAGCTCAGATTCTTTCTCTGCAGGGAGGAGACATAATTCTCCCCACCCTGCAAAGATACTCCACAACCTTCCTCCAACCTAATTGGAGGAAGGTTGTGGCGTATATGGGAGATAAAATCTGTGTGTGAATGACTGTAGTGTATAGCGCTTTGGTCAAGTCAGGAGACTTGACCAAAGCGCTATAGAAGTACATGCTATTTACCATTTACCAAAATGCTCCCATACATGCGACCTAAAGGGTGCAGCTGGTTTTTCAAGCTTCTCTCCTCTTGGATGGAACCGGTACTCTCAACGTGAAAATGCAGCTTTATTTATTTATTTTGTTGGGAACATGGAGAGTAATCGTAAGGATCACGGACTAGTAATGATCCGTCGCACCACTAACATAAACCGTTCATCAAACAAGATCTGAGCCAATTTCACCTTAAAAGGGATAAAAGTATCACTGTGAAAGTTGAGCCTTTTGACACGTTTCCCAGCGTGAACTATTGGGGGGTCACCATTTCCCATTGTCTCCACCTGCATTAAGCTCGGTTAGCAGGAACCAGCGTCTCCGAGTTTTCCCTGCAGCAACAGCTTAATACAGAACTAGAAGAACCAGATGCACCTCCTTGGTCTGGCCTCCTGTCTACCACCATCCACTCAAAGTGAAAATGTTTTGCTGGTTGCGACATGAGGCCATTTTGTCACATTATTCTCCCAAGTTAAGCTTGTAAGAGATAAATTACTGAACTGCCTTCTTTTATGGGAATATACCCGTTTTAGAGCCATGACTATCATCTGGAAATAAACGTTGACCTTATTCAACCGGATATAAGAACAATAATAATAAGCTTGGTGGTGGAAGTAAACTCGAAATGCCTGGGAAACCTGTATGAAGCTATGTGCAGAAGAGAAACCAGACTAAGCCCTGAAAAACAGGCCCAACACCATTATATATGAGGGAAGTTGTTGTTTGCAGTAGAACTAGGCCAGACGACGCAGGGAGAGCATAAAGTTTGGGGTTAAAAATAACAAACAATACAGAATTGGAGAATGATAAAAAGGGGTCCCTATGTCCTCCAGCAGTCTAAGCCTATAGCAGCAGAACTATAGAGATAGATCAGGATAACCTGAGTCACTCTAACTAGAAGCTTTATCAAAAATGAAAGTTTTAAGCCTAGCCTTAAAAGTAGACAGGGTGTCTGCCTCACGGACTAAAACTGGTAGTTGGTTCCACAGGAGAGGAGCCTGAGAACTAAAAGATCTGCCTCCCATTCTACTTTTAGAAATTCTAGGAACCACTAGTAAACCTGCAGATTGAGAGCGAAGTGCTCTGTTAGGAACATAAGGAACAATCAGATCTCTGATATCAGATGGAGCTTGGCCATTTAAGGCTTTATATGTGAGAAGGAGGATTTTAAATTCTATTCTGGATTTAACAGGAAGTTAATCTTCAGATAGTGATATAGATTATAGATTTACTGTAGAAATAAACCGATCTGAAGAGTGAAGAACCTGATTTGTTGTGTTTGGTGTCTCTGCAGCTGGATATCGTGGAGTTCATCCCCTCCCTGTTGTACTTCGGTTACACCACCCTGATGGTGCTGTCCTTCTGGCTCCTAACGGGAACCATCGGTTTTTATGCAGCCTACATGTTCATCAGGAAGATCTACGCTGCCGTGAAGATCGACTGAATCCTGCGCTGACGCTCTCCTCCCACTTCTGTTTTTTTTGTCACACTTTTTTTTTTAATGTTTTTAATATTTTTGTTGTTTTTGGTCCAACAAGCACTGACTGACAGAGCAGGGGTTGATCTTCATGATGCAACAGCCCCATCTGCTGGCCACATGGTGGAACAACAAAGAGACAGCAGAGTCAGGCCTGTTGTTTGCATCCCTCCCCCCTCCCCTCCCTGTGTGTGAGGACAGAGGACGTCCTCCTCTGCTGGGACAGCCGCCTCCTCCTGCACATAAACACATCGGGCCAAAGCTTGTTAGAAGATTTTCTTTCCTGTCTTGAAGTTTTCATTTTTTTCCACCTTCAGATCGACGCGGGACTCCGTTTTTCTGCTAATTATCTCCTGAGATGCGTTTTTTGCTGTGATTTCGTCACAGTGACGGTGTCTTGCTCTTTTCACTGATTGTGTTGTGGGGGGGGGTTGGTTTCCACCCAGAGACTTTGTGGGTCATGGTTGTGGTTTTTGTGTAACTGGTGGGGGCTGTTTAACATTGTACTACAGGAGAAGGTTCCATTAAATATATCTATTACTTTTTTACTTTGGTTCTGTGTCCAGTTGGAACCAGTATAACCCACAGCGATGGCGCTCATCTCCGCAGACCGCTCCGCTTCTTCTAAATGTGGGACACGAGCTCCCGGTTCGCCTGAAATGAAGCAAACTGTTTGGACGGAATGGGGAGCAATCATTGGCCGAGCAGCCGGGACGAGCGACTGCATTCAAACAGAACCTCCAGCAGTGTAGCCTTAGCAGCGCAGCGCCTGCAGAACTATGCAGTAATGGAAAACATTCAAAGCTAATATTAAAGGACTCAAAAGAAATCGCAGTAAATCTTAAAAGTTTTTGCACCTTTTTTTATTTTTATCTGTGCTGTATTTCTGGACGTTCCTCCAGTTGTTCTTTTAGCCATTTTCACACATCGATGCTGAGCCTTTTAAGCACATCAAACGATGTCGAAATCTGACCATGTTTCCCAGATCAGGCTTCAATCCTCTGACAGCAGATTTACACGCCGTCAAGATGGTGGTAGGTATGAGAAAAACCGGCTCCCAGCATCGTTTAAGCTGACCTGCAGTAACCCCAGGCTCCTAAAACACATCGGCAGTCCGAGTCGCTTCGTCATCTCGGATCTGTTGGCTTTTCCCCTCTGATGAAAAGACTTTAGGAGTTAAGGACCCCTAAGATGACCTGAAGGATTTTATAGACGTTTGCATCTTTGCTCAGAGGAGAAAGTCGACTGAAGTCGTGGTTTCACCCAGAAGTTATAAAAACGTAATTGTTGTTCCCTTCCTGAGGCTTTCTATGGGACAAACTCTGCCTTTCTGCACCTCACTATTTCCTGAATTTGGCGTAAAAGGAAAAGTTCAAGCCTTTAAACCAGAGTGGTTCCTAGAGGGCCCCTGCAAGGTTTTCCTGCTTCAGCTCAGAAGATTAACAACAATCCTCAGAATCAGCTGTGCTGAAGCTGAGAAACACCGATAACCAGTTAGGACATGCCCGTCCTAAAGAAATCAAAATGTTTGTCAAATTCTTCTTGTGATGTCAAATTAGTTCTATTTAAACCAAGGAAAATGAGCCTAAATCAGTCTGATAATGGAACCAGAATCTCTGTGCTCCGGCTGATCGAAGGCCGACGCCGCTCCTCTCCTGCGGCGGCGAACACGCCAGGAGAGCGTTTTTTCTAAAGGCTCCTGTTTACGGACATGAGCACGGATCAGGTTCTCAGTGTAAATAAGAGCTCTGTACGTGTTAGTTTGGCTGTTTGTGGCTCTGTAACGATTCCAGTCATTGTTTTAGCCAAAAGCATGACGCTCTCTATGAAGGAGCAATGATTTTGTTCTGTTTTTTACTTTTTTCTGTTTCTTTTACAGATTGTCTATAAACAAAATGTACAATGAGACAATAAAGTGATGGAAGATTGAATATGAAGACTGGCTCTGTTATTAACCAAGCAGCTGTAAAGCAGTATGTCGACTTAAAGGAATTATCAATGGATCATTATTGAAACCTAAAACTAATATGTTGGCGGTGATTTAAGGAATTTAGCGTTAATCAGTAAAAAAAATAAATTTTTGTCACGATCACTGAGTCTGGGAGCGGCCATTTTTTCCCAAATATAGTAGCCCCTCCCTCCTGCCATCTTCCAGCAGTGACGTCACGGTGCGGTAAGCCTAGCGCCATTCTCCCCGCTTTCCAAGCTAAATCAATGGGAACTACTAGACACATCTGCAATCAACAACAATTATTGAAGATTTCCAGAGGACTTCACCATTGAAATTCACCAGAGCTATAGTGAAACTGACAATGCCCACGTGCATGGCAGCTGGATGCTGGAATACATCGTGGAAAAGTGAGAAAAAAAAGAGTTATTCCACCTTTCTGATTCCTGATCCTCCACGGACGGGTTGGTCGTTGGATCGCCAACTTGAAGAGGGAGGATTTGCCATCGAACTTCTGGCCAGAGAAAAAACCCGTAATATGTAGCCAACATTTGGAAGAAGAATGTTTTCAAGATGACTTGGATAATAGCGCGTTGTGACAAACACCAGATACAGCACGGGGACTTGATCAACAGCCGATACCGCACCGTGACAATGTCACTAACCAGTAGGTGGCAGTAGTGTTCTTTGACAAACATGGATGCCTCCAGTAAAGCACATTCACATGAAAATTACTCTGAATTAAAAACACTGATCATTTATTGAACAGGATGGAATAATTTCAGATTTAAAGAACTTTTAGAAGTTTGAATAAATTAATTTCAGATCTCCATATTTTTAAAATTACTGGTCAACATTTTAATTATTTTAACAATGAAACTTTTTTTTCCTGATATAATTACACTCACCGGTCACTTTATTAGGTACACCTGTCCAACTGCTCGTTAACACTTAATTTCTAAGCAGCCAATCACATGGCAGCAACTCAGTGCATTTAGGCATGTAGACATGGTCAAGACAATCTCCTGCAGTTCAAACCGAGCATCAGTATGGGGAAGAAAGGTGATTTGAGTGACTTTGAACGTGGCATGATTGTTGGTGCCAGAAGGGCTGGTCTGAGTATTTCAGAAACTGCTGATCTACTGGGATTTTCACACACAACCATCTCTAGGGTTTACAGAGAATGGTCCGAAAAAGAAACAACATCCAGTGAGCGGCAGTTCTGTGGGCGGAAATGCCTTGTTGATGCCAGAGGTCAGAGGAGAATGGCCAGACTGGTTGGAGCTGATAGAAGGGCAACAGTGACTCAAATAACCACCCGTTACAACCAAGGTGGGCAGAAGAGCATCTCTGAACGCACAGTACGTGGAACTTTGAGGCAGATGGGCTACAGCAGCAGAAGACCACACCGGGTGCCACTCCTTTCAGCTAAGAACAGGAAACTGAGGCTACAATTTGCACAAGCTCATCGAAATTGGACAATAGAAGATTGGAAAAACGTTGCCTGGTCTGATGAGTCTCGATTTCTGCTGCGACATTCGGATGGTAGGGTCAGAATTTGGCGTCTTCAACATGAAAGCATGGATCCATCCTGCCTTGTATCAACGGTTCAGGCTGGTGGTGGTGGTGTCATGGTGTGGGGAATATTTTCTTGGCACTCTTTGGGCCCCTTGGTACCAATTGAGCATCGTTGCAAAGCCACAGCCTACCTGAGTATTGTTGCTGACCATGTCCATCCCTTTATGACCACAATGTACCCAACTTCTGATGGCTACTTTCAGCAGGATAATGCGCCATGTCATAAAGCTGGAATCATCTCAGACTGGTTTCTTGAACATGACAATGAGTTCACTGTACTCAAATGGCCTCCACAGTCACCAGATCTCAATCCAATAGAGCATCTTTGGGATGTGGTGGAACGGGAGATTCGCATCATGGATGTGCAGCCGACAAATCTGCGGCAACTGTGTGATGCCATCATGTCAATATGGACCAAACTCCCTGAGGAATGCTTCCAGCACCTTGTTGAATCTATGCCACCAAGAATTGAGGCAGTTCTGAAGGCAAAAGGGGGTCCAACCCGTTACTAGCATGGGGTAGCTAATAAAGTGGCCAGGGAGTGTACATTTTCAGTCAAGCTCATAGATGTCAAAACGGGTAATTAAAATGTGTAAAAATTTCTAGATATATAAAACTTAATTTGTACGAGTATAATGTATTTTTTTTTTACTTTCTAAAATTCAGTTTCTGCAACAAAAATGTGACCAAGCAGAGGAACAGACTGATGTAGAGAACAGCCTGTGATCAGCTGCTTTTCACATTGAGCTATCGGAGCTCATTAAAGCAGCTCAGCTATATGGATAAAAACATAAAACTATTAAAGCCAGTCTGAACTTTTTTTTTGTCGCCAATTCATCAAGTTTAAATGTATTTATATGCGAGTTACTCAGAGGAGCTCCAGTTTTATAAATAAAGTTTATATGATTCTATGTGAATCCCTTTATCCTGAGCTATCTCTATAGTTCTGCTGCTATAGGCTTAGACTGCTGGAGGACATAGGGACCCCTTTTTCATCATTCTGCTTCATTCTATCTCTATTCTCCCACTCTGCAGAATCTGTTAGTTCAATCTCTAACGTTCTGCTCTCTCTGCTTTTTCTCATAGTAGCTTCATCTGGTCTGTTCCTGTTTGGCTGTGACTCCATCCTGGAGAGAAATATCAGCTGTGCTGCTGCCATCAACACCTTTGTTTCTAGATGTTGGAGCTTGGCCTGTTTTCCAGTGTAGTCCTGTTTCTCTGATTGTGACTGGCTGGATATGTTCTCTTCATCCTCTGAGTCGTAGGTTAACACACCTCTTTGCAGTTTCTCTACTGTTACCCTCTCTTTACTCCATCCAGACAGTGTCTTGCCCACGACCAAAATCTAATAAATTAGCAAATATTCCCAAAGGAGTAAATCATGATAATCTAATTAAAATTAAAATAACTCAAATTGGGGAAAAAGTTAAAACAATTAAATGCGGTCTGTTTAACATAAGACCTCTTTCCTCTAAAAGTCTACTAGTTAATGACTTGATTTGTGATAATCACATTGACTTGTTTTGCCTTACAGAAACCTGGCTGCAGCAAGAGGATTATGTGAGCATAAATGAGGCAACTCCTTCAAGCTATTTAAATTTTCACATCCCCAGAAGTTCTGGGCGAGGAGGAGGAGTAGCAACAATCTTCCAGTCTGACTTACTGATTACTCCCAAAACAGTTAATACCTACAACTCTTTTGAACATTTAACCCTTAATTTCCCTCATCCAAATTGCAAAGCAAGAAAACCTCTTCTTTTTGTAACTTTGTGTCGTCCACCAGGTCCTTACTCTGAATTTTTAGATGAGTTTTCAGAGTTCCTTTCTGATTTGATATTAAATACTGACAGGGTCATCATAGTGGGAGATTTTAACATCCATGCTGACATTGAAGGCGATAGCTTAAGAGCAGCCTTTAATGCTATCTTAGACACTATTGGCTTTGTTCAAAATGTGAATAGTCCCACACATTCTCATCTTCATACTTTGGATCTTGTGCTGACATACGGCATAGAATGTGAAGAAATAACAGTATTTCCTCACAACCCTGTCCTCTCTGACCACTTTCCAATAACCTTCAGGATTACTTTAACAGAGTTCTCCTCCCCCAAAAGAAGGTTACATTTTAGTAGATCTTTATATAAATTTTAAAGAATCTGCTTCACTTTCTCTCTGCTCTGTGTCACTGAGCAGTGCTGCAGAGTGCAAAAGCTTAGCTTATTCCCCTTCACAGGTTGATGATTTTGTTGATGGGGTTGCTAGTTCTCTGCGTATTGCCTTAGACAACGCAGCTCCTTTGAAAATGAGAACCGTTAAAAATAGAGAGCTTGCTCCTTGGTTTAATGCAGAGCTGCGCACTTTGAAGCAAAATACTAGGAAACTGGAGAGAAAATATCGCTCCACAGGCCTGCGAGAGTCCTTCCTAGTCTGGAAAAATAGTTTACTGCTGTATAAGAGGACCCTTTGTAAAGTAAGAGCAGCATACTTCTCCTCATTAATAGAGGAAAATAAGAATAATCCTAGATTTCTTGTTAATCCAGTTGCCAAACTCACCCAGAGCCATAGCTCTGTTGAACCGTCCATTCCACCTGCTTTTAGCAGCAACGATTTTATGGGATTCTTTATAAATAAGATCATTAGCAGTCCTCTATCCGTGATTGGTTTGTCTCTGGAGGGTGGGGCAGCATTTGAGGTAGTCATGAAATCTAAACCGGGTTTAGACTGCTTTGATCCAGTTGAACTTTCAGAGTTAGCAAAACTATTGTCTTCATCTAAGCCTTCAACTTGTATGTTAGATCCATTTCCAACCAGGTTATTTAAGGAGGTATTCCCTTTGATCTCCTCCTCCATTTTAGATGTGATTAATCTAATCATATGTACCAAAGGTTGCTGTAATTAAACCTTTACATCTGCATCAGGTAATATTGAAATTATTGGTTGAGCATCAGAAGCTTCTTTCTGTTGTTTAATCCGAGCCTCAGGGACCCAAACAGCAACGAAGCAGAAAAACAGTGGATCAATAAGGAGTCAGTTTTGTTTTTCAAAGTCGGAGTTCTTAGGACTCAGAAGTTTTAGCTGCATAAAACTTTTATCTCTGAGGTATTAACTTACGTTTCAGATTTATTGGAATCCATGGTCACAGAGGCGTAACCAGAAAACATTAATAATGGCGTCCAGGAAATAACCAATGTAGACTGAGGGGTGGCCGAAAGCAGATCGGCTCCAGAACCTCGGTGAATCTCCACTGATCCAACAGGAAAATTAATGAACACAACATCCATATTTTCTAAATAAAGACAAACTATACTTTCCTACAGCCTTTGCTAACAAATAGACGCATATATTTAAACATCCGAGCTTTCTAGATAAGTTATTGTGGATAAAATTCTTTCAGGTTTGAGTTTTGGGGCG